AAGGTAATTTATAGATTCAATGCCATTCCCATCAAGCTACCAATGACTTTCTTCACAGAATTGGAAAAAAACTACTTTAAAGTTCATATGGAACCAAAAAAGAGACCACATTGCCAAGACAATCCTAAGCAAAAAGGACAAAGCTGGAGGTATCACGCTACCTGACTTCAAACTATACTACAAGTCTACAGTAACCAAAACAGCGTGGTATGGTACCAAAACAGATATATAGACCAATGGAACAGAACAGAAGCCTCAGAAATAAATAACACCACACATCTATAGCCATCTGATTTTTGACAAACCTGACAAAAACAAGAAATGGGGAAAGGGTTCCCTATTTAATAAATCGTGCTGGGAAAACTGGCTAGCCATATGTAGAAAGCTGAAACTGGATCTCTTCCTTACATTTTATACAAAAATTAATTCAAGATGGATTAAAGACTTAAATGTTAGACCTAAAACCATAAAAACCCTAGAAGAAAACCTAGGCAATACCATTAAGGACACAGGCATGGGCAAGGACTTCATGACTAAAACACCAAAAGCAATGGCAACAAAAGCCAAAATTGATAAATGGGATCTAATTAAACTAAAGAGCTTCTGCACAGCAAAAGAAACTACCATCAGAGTGAATAGGCAACCTACAGAATGGGAGAAAATTTTTGCAATCTACCCATCCGACAAAGGGCTAATATCTAGAATCTACAAAGAACTTAAACAAATTTACAAGAAACAAACAAACCCATCAAAAAGTGGGCAAAGGATATGAAGAGACACTTCTCAAAAGAACACATTTATGCAGCCAACAGACACATGAAAAAATGCTCATCATCACTGATCATCAGAGAAATGCAAATCAAAACCACAATGAGATACCATTTCACACCAGTGAGAATAGTGATCATTAAAAAGTCAGGAAACAACATGCTGGGGAGGATGTGGAGAAATAGGAACACTTTTACACTGTTGGTGGGAGTGTAAACTAGTTCAACCATTGTGGAAGACAGTGTGGCGTTTCCTCAGGGAATCTAGAACTAGAAATACCATTTGACCCAGCAATCCCATTACTGCGTATATACCCAAAGGATTATAAATCATGCTACTATAAAGACACATGCATACATATGTTTATTGCGGCACTATTCACAATAGCAAAAACTTGGAACCAACCTAAATGTCCATCAATGATAGACTGGATTAAGAAAATGTGGCACATATACACCATGGAATACTATGCAGTCATGGAAAAGGATGAGTTCACGTCCTTTGCAGGGACATGGATGCAGCTAGAAACCATCATTCTTAGCAAACTATCACAAGGACAGAAAACCAAACACCACCTGTTCTCACTCATAGGTGGGAACAGAGCAATGAAAACACTTGGACACAGGGCAGGGAACATCAAATCCTGGGGCCTATCATGGGGTGGGGGAGTGGGGGGGAGGGATAGCATTGGGAGAAATACCTAATGTAAATGACGAGTTAATTGGTGCAGGAAACCAATGTGAAACATGTGTATACCTATGTAACAAATCTGCATGTACTCTAAAACTTAAAGTATAATAATAACAAAAAAGTATATAAAATCATGTAAAAATTACATGAGGAGAAAAAGCAAATGTGTTAAAATAGTAATTGGTGACTCTGAGTGAAAGGCAAATGTGAGTTATTTGTATTCCTCTTGCAACTTTCCTGCAAGTTTGAAGTTATTTCAAAATAAAAGCTTTAAAACAAAGTTGGACAACACTACAGGGTTGGCAAGAATGTGGCAGAATGGTAGCCCTCACATTGCTGGTGGGAGTAGAAGCTGATAAACTCACTATGAAAAGTAATTTGACAATATCTACTGAACTTAATTAAGGATGAACATATTCTCTGACCCACAGTTCTGCTTCTGAGCATAGTCCCCCTGTGTTCAAGATGTGTGCAAGAATGTTATGCTCAGCATTGTTTGCAATAGCATAAGACTAGAAATCACCTAAATGTCCCCCAAAAAGAGAACGAATAAATAATAAATTTGTGGTATGTCCATAAAGCAGGATGGTACATATATCAGTAAAAATGAACAAAGTAGAACTGCACCTATCAGTGTGCATAATTCTGGAAAACATAGGCCAGGCACCATGCCTCACACCTGTAATCCCAGCACTTTGGGAGGCCAAGGTGGGCAGATCACCTGAGGTTGGGAGTTTGAGACCAGCCTGATCAACATGGAGAAACCCCGTCTCTACTAAAAATACAAAATAAGCCGGGCATGGTGGTGAATGCCTGTAATCTCAGCTACTCGAGAGGCTGAGGCAGGAGAATCACTTGAACCCAGGAGGCAGAGGTTGCAGTAAGCCGAGATCTCGCCATTGCACTCCAGCCTGGGCAACAAGAGTGAAACTTCGTCTCAAAAACAAAAACAAAAAAGACATAAACATGAAGAAAGAAAGTGGCCAAATATGTACATTATGATACATTTTGTGTAAGTCTTAAAATCATGGAAAATACTATATATTGCTTACGGATGTTTACGTATATGATAAAAGAATAGAGGTGCAGGGAAATAATAACCATATTCAGAACTTTGTTACTTCTGGAAAGGAGTAGACAGAGGATTTCAAATATATCTATAATGTTTTATTTCTTAAGCTGAGTTGTGAGTACATGATGTTAAATATTATTTGTGATTTTTTAAATATGCCTGAGGTATTTCATAATATTAAAATATATTAATTCAATTTCTGGAGCCAGCTCTACTGAGCAAGAAGTTTGGAAATCTCTGGTTCTCACATATGATAACATTTTCCAAACAACTAAAATAGCGCAAGGGAAATCTCCAAATGAATGGGCAACAAATCAGGTTCATAAGGGTATAATTTAAAACAATATGTCTGTCTTGTTAGCTATAAAATAATGTTAAAATTATCTAGTAACCACAAGAATAAGAAAAAACATTCTGTGCTCAATTTTGCAGCACAAATAAAATATGAACATTTAATACAGTATTTGTAATAGCTACCATTTCATATTCTTTAGAGTTATTTGGCAACAATACCTTTCAGGGATAGAAATGCAGCCTAAATAATCTTCCTTTTCTGAGCAAAGAAAAAATAATTCCAAATGTATCACAGCTAAACAAGAAAAAAAAAAAGCCCAACTTTTAAAAGAAAAAAATCACCATATAGCCACTAATACTTTTTCCCACTTAAAAATGTACTGTTAACTCCTCCAACTAACTTAATTTGGACATTATCTACTTATGAAGCTAAGGAAAATAGGCAGGAAAAAAATCATACCTTCCTCATATTTTCTGCATCCATGGCAACTATTTCCAGTTGGTCTCTCTCCTGCTCGACTTCTGTCAATCTCTGCAACAACGTCTCTTTCTCATCCTGCAGCTTTCTGCACTCATTCTGGGCCTGAGTTGCCTGGCCTTTAATGGTCCCCAGGTATTCTTGCAACCCACTGATGACACCTTCTAAATCCTTCTTCAGGGATTCGTTTGCTGCTATCTGGCCTAAGCAAGATGCAAAAAGGGTAATAATATATCTTTTTAAAGTACTGTAGCATTGTCTCATCAGCATTTTGTTATTAGCCAAGAGTGAAATTCTAAAGCTTTCAATTATTTCCTATCATTTTTCTTTTTCAACACATAATGTTAAATTTTCTTCCTATTATAGATAGTACAGGACTATTAAGCAGGTATAAAATAAAAATAGTATATTTAGGGGCTATGCTTGTAAAATACCTGATTCATGCTGTAAAAAGTTTAATTTCGCCCAGGTGCAGTGGTTCAAGCCTGCAATCCCAGCACTCTGGGAGGCCAAGGCGGGAGGATCATGAGGTCAGGAGATTGAGACCATCCTGGCTAACACAGTGAAACCCCATCTCTATTAAAAATACAAAAAAATTTAGCCGGGCATGGTGGCACGTGCCTGTAGTCCCTGCTACTCATGAGGCTGAGACAGGAGAATCACTTGAACCCAGGAGGCAGAGGCTGCAGTGAGCCGAGATCAGGCCACTGCACTCCAGCCTGGGTGACAGAGTGAGGCTCCATCTCAAAAAAAAAAAAAAGTTTAATTTCCAAATAAAATAAAAAATATGTAGCAAAACTGTGAGTTCGTGCTGCTAAATACATATAACATAATCACTCAGTATATTATCATATTAATAGATAATTCTGAAAAAGTCCCAGAGAATGCCCCCATTAGCTTAGCTAGGGCCATAAATTTATCTTTGAACCAATCACCATGGCCAGAATGACCAGAGTGAGGGTGTCTTGAATGGCCAGTTCTTAATTATGGCACTCTCTCTGGGCTTTGATAGGGGAAGATGTTCAGTACCCATGTCCAAGTAACGTAATATTATATAATGGTTCTTGTTCACCATCTTTGCACTACCATTTTGTTGTGTCTTTTGGGTGTTTCCAGGCTCACAAAGATCTAGGAGATAATTTAGAACTTTAAAATTAAGTCAGAAAGAGCCTTGGGCAAGTCTGAGAAAGACCTAGGTAAGTGGAAACCAATAATAAAGATGAATCCAAGACTGGCAACATAAACGTGTAACCTAAAGACTTAAAACACACACACACTCCCCATGTACAGTACTGGATACACACTATGTGCCAGGAACTTTATGAACACTCTCTCTCTCTTCTTCTTTTTTTTTTTTCCTCAAAGTTTCACTCTGTCACCCAGGCTGGAGTGCAGTAGCACAATCATGGCTCACTATAGCCTCAACCTCCCTGAGCTCAGGTGATCCTCCACCCTCAGCCTCCCAAGCAGATGGGGCCACAGGCATGTGTACTACTACATCTGGCTTTTTTTTTTTTTTTTTTGTAGAGTTGGGGTTTCGCCATGTTGCCCATGCTGGTCTTGAACTCCTGGGCTCAAGTGATCTGCCCACCTCAGCCTCCCAAAGTGCTAGGATTATGGGCATGAGCCACCACTCCGGGCCTATGAATACTATCTAATTTAATTCTCCCAACAACTAATAATTGAGATAAAAACAACTTGTCCAAGGTGACACAGCTGATAGTAGCAAAACAAGGAGTAGGATCTTTTTACACTGAGCCCTATGTGTAAAAACCACTATGGCCTATTGTCTTCCTTTTCCACTATTATGGATATGTCACATTTTAAATCTGCATTGCAAAAGTAGATCCTAAAACTCTTTCTTCTTATAACCAGACACTGAATTCCCTGATGCCAATGGGTGCTTTGCTCCTGAATGGATTTTATGCCATAGACAATCACATGCCAGAGCTTATCATGATCATGTATTGACTTCTGGCCTACTGACTGGAATGACCTGACTCACTAGGCATCAATGCCACAAAACAAAACAAAAACAAAACTCTTAAAATTGCATTAAATACTTTTGGGTATCCTGTAAATATTTCCCTATCAAATACTAGTACTAATAGGTGAACTGTATTTTGCTACTATCTGGATTAATGCTTGTCTTTATAATGTTCCTTTCACTAGTAATAAAACTGATTTACCCTAAATCACACTGAAATTCTTACCTTCAGTAAGTTGTTGTTCAAGGTCCTTAATCTCTTCCGTTTCCTTAGCAATTCTAGAAAGTATCTCATCCAAACGACTTTCAAGTTGTTTGTACTGCTTGTTCATAATGTCAAGCTGTTGTTCTTTACCCCTCTTTTGAGCCTTCATATGGGACTGAATTAAAAAACAAAAAAAAACAAAACAAAACTCCAAGTTCCTTAAACTCCTTTAAAAAGAATAATCCTTAACAACATTTTTAAACGAAGAATAGAAAATAAATATAATAATTTGCACTATTTTGTGTCAGGCCCTATATTGTTTTCACATGGGTAGTTTTCATTTAAACGTCAAGATAAGTTGATATGGAAATCATTTCTACTTTACAGGTGAGAAAACTGAGGATCAAAAAGGTTAAGTGGTTTTTCCAAGGGCACAGCTAGGTAGGTCAGTGTTATTTGCATTGCATTAAATTGTGTGTCTCTCTTTTTATTCTTTCTTTTTTTTTTTGAGAGGGAGTCTCACTCCGTCGCCCAGGCTGGAGCGCAGAGGCACAATCTCAGCTCACTGCAACCTCCGCCTCCCGGGTTCAAGCAATTCTCCTGCCTCGGCCTCCCAAGAAGCTGGGACTACAGGTGGGGGCCACCACACTCGGGTTTTTGTTTGTTTGTTTTTGTTTTTTGTTGCTTTTTTTTAGTAGAGACGGGGGTTTCACCATGTTGGCCAGGCTGATCTCGAACTCCTGACCTCAAGTGATCTGTCGGCCTTGGCCTCCCAAATCGCTGGGATAACAGGCATGAGCCACCGTGCCCAGCCTAAAATGTGTCTTTTAAAAAAGGTTTCCAAAGTTAGTTAGTTATGGCATATATCTATAAAAAGACTTAAAAACTACATCCCAAAATGTTAACAAGAATTATACCTGGGTGGAAGGATTACATGGGGATTTTTTTCCTTTTGTAATGAGTATTTTTATATTTAAAAAACTTTTATAGTAGATAAGTAATGCCTTTTTAATAAAAAAAATTAAGTGTACTTTTTAAAAAAAGTTTCTTAGAAGAAAATAGAGGCATGAAATAAAATACTTGAAATTCAAATTTACTTTCAATCTCTTATACAAAGAAACATTTGGCTTTTCAATAAACTGAGAGTTGACAGGGACCTCAAAGACCACTTAGGCCGGTGAGTCTCAAAATGGAGGGTCCTAAGGAGGTATACCTGTCTACCACTAGACTTCCCCATGGTGGAAAACAGAGCTTTCACATACCCACACACCCTCTCGCACCCTGAAGTCATGGCATTAGGGAACTGCTGTTAACTGAAAAGAGTGTATTGTATTTCTCAGGTGTGCTAGGGAAAGCAAATCAAGAGCCAATAATCTAGTCTAACCCTTGCTTTTAAACATGAGAAAACTGAATTTCGGATCCATCAAATGACTTGCACGTGAGGCAACTGTTCATATGAAGGCAAAATAATTCCCCAGAGAACCTTTGCCCTCCCACTCACACCTTCATGACTCTTAAGTTGGTACCCACAGGATGAGAGGAATACAACAATAAATGTTATTGAAAGAGGGAACTGTATCAGAAAAATGAACACCAATGATCTCAAGTCTAAGACCCATGTGATGATAAAATAATATTTCTCAATTTTATGTATTTGCTTACCCCAAATACAAGAAAAAACATCTTTTCATTTCTGATGAACAAAAGAATGGCAGCTTAATTGGAAGGTTTTAAATTTACTACCGGTAAAGCTTTATGGTATTTTGCAAACTCTTTTCCCTACACTCCCAAAATACCCATTTGAAATCTTTCTGAAAAGTTAACTACATATAACAGCTTACATTCTAAGTAAATTTCGGATTTTTATGGCTCAAGAAATAATTTCTTAAAAGACTACACTCATATCAATAAATCTTTAAAATTCACCATTAAAAATTCCAGCGAAACTGTTATATGCAGGATAAAAATCTGATTCAATATGCCAATGGTGTACATTAAATACAGAGGAACAAAAGTAGATTCTGCGATTTACATCACCGAGAAGCTCACAAAAGAGTTATTGTAAAAACAGGAACTTACATCTCTGACTCCTCCTCCTTTTAAGTCCTTTGTACACAGAAAGAAAAAATGATCATACCTTAAAATTTATCCTGTTAAAACTGAGCCGTTGAGAACAGAGAAACTGTGGGCGGAACACTTTCTAATGCTGTCTTCAAATTCATGTGCAATTCCCTCTCTGACAGCCACATTTTCGCAAGCGCCTCCGAACCTCTGTAACTTCGCAGAGGCTCAAACCACATTCTTGGCCAAAAGTGAGCGGCGGCCCCGCCCATCCAATCACCAGCAGCCTCTGCGGGCAGGCCCCACCCTCCGCGAGTTAAATCATAACACAGGAAGCTCCCGGGGGCCAATCACGCCCAAACTTTGCAACAGATCACTACAGCTCGTTCCCTCTAGCGAACAGTTAACTTTTGCTTCCAATGGGGCATTTACCAATCAGAGAAACACAATACAAATCTTCATTATGTTTGCTCCAGTGATAATTTGTGCTTGTATGAATAATTTCATAACTACAATAGTCTGTGAATTTGAAACCTCGTTAAATGCTTATATTTGCTGAAAACCTGCCTAGGCTTAGTTCTGAGCTAATTTAAAAATAATCTATTTAGACCTTTAATCGCTTTGTGAGGAGAGGGTCATTGTGGTAGCATAAGCAAGGGCTCCACCTCTTTCTAAAACAATGACTTGGGGGCAAATCACTTAATATTTCTATATCACATTTTCATCCTCTTCAAAATGAAAGAAAAATGGCTAGATGTGAATAAAGTTCCTCACCAGAACATGTAAAATACAGCACAATGTACGACACATTGTGGGCACTTAATATGTTTGTTTTCTATGATTTCTCATCAAAGTTAAGCTTTTACTTTTAAATTCTATTGGCTATTCAGAAAGATAGTTCATCTAATTACATAAAAATTAATTACATAAAAGTCTACCTATATCTATAGAAAAATATGCAGGCATCCCACTCTTGATTATTTCTCTTCTGCTTAAAGGCTCACATTTTGTAGCCTAAAATAGGATGCTAAACACTAGCCAATATGAAACTTTGTGAATCAGAAAAAGATGTTCCCTCTGGATAAACTTAAAAGAGATGTCCTCTGATGCTGGGACTACGGCTGCAAACTTAAGAACTATTAGCAGTTTTAATAAAATTAAAAAGGAAATTCAAATCTGGTTTGTATGTTTCATCCCCACTGCACAGGCTGATTTTAGCTAACTTTAAAACTTGGATACCATTCCCATGTCTCATTTACCGCCTTTCTATATATAATTCTCTACAGAAATCCAGTGGGAACTGAACTCTGTGTCCGCCAGAAATATAACAGTCATTTGTTGAAAGCAAACACATAATCCAGCTACTAATTAGACTCATAGATCACAAAACTGGAAGGGGAAGCAAAGGAGTTTTGGGTAGGATTTATAAGCTGCTTCCTTCCTCCCTTCCATGATGCAAGCATTCATAAACACAGGGCTGGTTGGTCCCTGGGAATACAGATACCCATAGGATACAGTTCATGTCTTCAGGGGCCTTACATGGGTGAGATTGAACAAATACATTCAATAAAGTAAGATATTATTGACCACATTATACATTACTTAAAATACCCCATTTTCCCTTAAAATTATTTAAAATAATCAAGACTACTTTTGGTTTCAATGTTAATACTTTGGTTTCCATTTTTAGGCTTTTGTTAGAAAAGACCTTATATCTGTCATAAGGTTATCCTTTATCGAAATTAGCTGGCCCACAAAAAATATATATGATATTGTACTAAAATGCTTAAAGGAATAGTTAAATAACTTGTCAAGTACTAAAGCAATTACAATATCCTCACTATGTTAAATTCTATGATTTCTATTAATCCAGAGATCTTAGAGTTCTTTAAAAAAAAAAAAACAACCCCTATTATTCAAGGTATACCAGGAAAATACATAGAAGATATTTTTCCTTGTATTTTAGGAGTATTAGCTAAAATATAAGCAATTAGTACAAAGAGTAGAGACAGAGACAAGGGCTTGGCCATATCCAGCCACCTGACCATATCTAGTCACATCTCAGGAAGAAACATTCCAGAGAAATGTTTCCTTTTTTAAGGACAAAAAAAAACAATATGAAAAAACAAATACCTTCAGTGGAATATTTGCATAAAGGATTAAATAGAAGAGGTAGAAAAAGGACTCGGAACCCCCTTCAGCTTCTTCTGCTCTTAAGAAAGATGAAGGGCTGGACGTGGTGGCTCACGCCTGTAATCCCAGCACTTTGGGAGGCCAAGGCAGGCGGATCAGAAGGTCAGGAGTTCAAGACCAGCCTGACCAACATGGAGAAACCCCCTCTCTACTAAAAATACAAAAATTAGCTGGGCGTGGTGGCGCACGCCTATAATCCCAGCACTCTGGGAGGCTGAAGTGGGTGGATCACGAGGTCAGGAGATCGAGACCATCCTGGCCAACATGGTGAAACCTTGTCTCTACTAAAAATACAAAAATTAGCCAGGCATGGTGGTTGGTGCCTGTAGTCCCAGCTACTCGGGAGGCTAAGGCAGAAGAATCACTTGAACCTGGGAGGCGGAAGTTGCAGTGAGCCAAGATTGTGCCATTGCACTCCAGCCTGACAACAGAGCAAAAAAAAAAAAAAAAAAAAAAAAAAAAAAAAAAAAAAAAAAAAAAAAAAAAAGAAAGAAAGATGAAAAAAAGGAAAGGAGGGAGAGAGCAAATCTCTCTTGCTCTGCAATGCAATGAAATTCAACCACTTAAAAATAAATAATTATGCCATGTGGCCATCATTTACTGAAAGCCACCTTCTCTTCAAGCCCTAGGTTGTTTTGTTTTAAACATACATATTCTATATATATGTGTGTGTGTATATATACACATATATTTATATATAACACACATACATATACACATACATACATTATATATACACACATATATGTACAGTTTTCCTTCGGTATCCATGGGGGATTGGTCCCAGGATTCCCTGCAGATACCAAGATCCACTGATGCTCAAGTTCCCTTCTATAAAATGGCATAATATTTGTATTTAACCTATGGACATCCTCTTATATATTAAAATCATCTCTAGATTACTTATAATACCTAATACAGTATAAATGCTATGTGACTAGTTGTTATACTGTCTTGTTTACAGAATAATGACAAGGGAAAAAAAGTCTGCACATGTTCAGTACAGATAAAACCATCCTTTTTTTCCTAATATATGTGATCTGCAGTTGGTTAAATCCACAGATGCAGAACCCATGGATATGGAGGGCTGACTGTATATGTATATCACTTAAATTTGTACATGAAACTAAAACAGACTTTCAGAAAGGACTCTGGACTCTGATGCTAACAATGATGAGACATGTAATATGTAGGGAGAACAAAAAATTTCTTAATTTACTCACATGTTTTGGGTCTTTGGAATCCAGGCTATCCATGGCTATTTGCAGGTCCTTCATCTCCTTCTGCTTTTCGGCAATTTCCTGCTTTTGCTTTTCCATCTGCAGTTCTAGATCCAGAGCTTCCTGGCGTAATTTATTTACAAGTTGTAGTCTACCACTCAACTGCTTGTAAAGAAGGTCCTTCCCTGCTTCTGAAATCTAATCTCCCCAAACCCCAATATATAATTAACAGAGAAGAACAACATTGATTTATTAAGACAATGTCTTTAATTTCTATGTTCTATCAGTTTTTTAAAAATAAAAGTAAAATGTGGGAGTTATCTAAGCACTCCATGCATATTTTATACTTTTATGCTTATTATATGTAGAAAATCATACCTTAAAAAGTTTATGAAAACTATTAATAGCAAGCACACATAAGTTGTCATTCTATAATAGTATAGGCAACTTGTAAATTATTAATAATATAGTATTAATAATAGCTGGCTTCATATAGCACTTACTATGGGCCATGCACTGTTCTAAACTCTTTATATCCTTTAATCTAATCCTCAAAACATAAAAGGTAAAAAGTATAATTATCCCAATTTTATAGATAAGGAAACTGAATCATGGAAAATTTAAATATCTCGCCCAAGGTCATACTAGGAGTTTGTGGAAGCAAGACTTTGTGTGACTCTAGACAATTTCACTGACTACTACACTACAGTTTCCTAATTAGTTTTAATGTGAAGACAATCAACCAATAAATTGAATACTGATATAGAAGTAATAATTAATACTCTGTCTCTTGTTTCTAACAGTTTTTAGCATAGATTTAAACAAATGTAAAAATTTCTCAAGAGTCTGTATAGAAGTGTAAAAAAGATGAAGATAAAAGACTGAAAAGAAATAAAATAATGATGATTACTACGTAATTCCCCATAACTGCAATACCTTTATAATCAGGAAAAAATTTTAGAATTCCATGTTCACTGGACAATCATCTCACACTCAATAATTTCAAAATACAGCAAACTCTCATTAAATTGACATTTTTATTTCACTTAATTAGAACCCAGCTGAAGCTTACCTTTGTTAGCATGTCAAGTAAGTGAACAGTATAAACAAAAACTTAGGCTATTAATTTTCTTATTAACTATTTATTAACTATTATTAACTATTAATATTAACTCACTTAAATAACTCTATTTTCTAAGCATATTTTGGAAGTATCCATTTCTTTTAAAATTATGTACATTATTTACATCTATCTATGTAAAGCTTTGGCCAGTGCTATTATAAAATATTCTTTTAAAATTATTAAAACCATCTTGATAGCTCCCTCTACCTCATTTCCTACTTTCAACCCATCATTAAGTCCTGTCAGTTCTACTGTCCAATGTTTCCTGGAATCAGTTGGCTTTGTCTCCACATCCACCAGCACCTTCCTGGTTGGTGCTAGTATCATCTCTTGCCTGTACTGAACAACAGCCTCCTGAGAGATACAGATGCACACAACCCCATTCCTTCCATCTCACTCAGTCCATTTCACTCTTCATGAAGTAAGGCAAAGTGGCAAATAGGATCAGCCACTCAACTATCTAAAGCCCTTCAAAGATTTCCTATTGCATGCAAAATAAAATTCAAACTTCTTAAAATGGCTTATGAACAATTTGGGAGGCCGAGACAGGCAGATCACTTGAGCCTAGGAGTTCAAGACCAGCCTGGGCAACATGGTGAGACCCCACCTCTACAAAAAAAATACAAAAAATTAGCCAGGAGTGGTGGCACATGTCTGTAGTCCCAGCTATTCCAGAGGCTAAGGTGGGAGAACCACCTGAGCCCAGGAAGTCAAGGCCCTGTCTCAAAAATAAAAATAAAAATAAAAATAAAATTGCCTATGAAGCCTGGCATGATCTTTAACCTCATGACTCTTTAACTTCATCTTCCTCTACACTCTCCATTATTCTGCAGAGAAATTTTTTAGTCTGAAGGCCTTTGTACACACTGTCACCTCTGCATGGAATACTTTCTGCCAGCTCTGCCTCACTGGCTCCTTCTCATCCTTTGTATATTAGCCTGTCACCTCCTCAGAGAGGCCTTTGTGAATCCCCACAATCTAAAGTGTATCTCTTTTAACATCTCCCCTAGTTTTCTATTTTTTTCTTACAACACTGATGCTGTTTAACTTTTTTCCTTTTTTTAAAATAAATATTTTTTTCCTTTTTGTTTATTTATTGTCTTATTTCCCCCACAAGTCTGTCCATGAGAGGGACACATGTCTATTTTGTTCATTATTCAGCGCCCAGCCCAGTGACTGACATATAGTAAGGTATAAACTTGAGTCAATTTCTAGTTAGTATAAAATCTGAAAGTAACAATACAGTGTATCTTTTAAAAGAATCTAAAATTTGGACTTCACATTGTTGTTCTACCTACTGTGATATGAATGTAGTTACCATCATAATTTTTAAATACTGATTTTTAAAAGTTATAAATAACTAAAACCTTTTTACCCACTTAAAAACTAAAATGTCACGCTACTTCCTTTTTTTGAATTTCCCCTATGCAATTACATCATGGATTTGAGCTGCTTACTTGCTTACTTTACAACACACTTTGGTAATTTTTGAGAATATGTTACTTCAATCTTTTTGTATACTACATATCTCTTTTTTTTTTTTTTTTGGCTTGTGTTTGATGACAATGTTCATGTAATAGCAGAGATATCTCCTGGTTCTTAATCTAAGTCCCAGGATCTTAAAGGTGGAGAGTGCTTAATTAAATTAGAAGAGATACATCAGGAAGCAACTTCTCAAGACTACACCTTTTTACATAAAATTAAGTAATTTATTTATTAATAAATTGCTAATTGGATGTCATCATAAATGGAAGAAAATTACAACTGGCAAATTCTAGAACTATATTTGACTGTGGAATTTATTATCCCATAATTAATTAGGCAGCTAACTGCTTTTTAAATTGTTTTATATGGTTATGAAGGGAAAAACACGTTTCATTTTTCATTTCCTCTTAGCATTGCTGCTTTGCTTTTACATACTTTTTTTAGTTGTACAGCTTCTTCCAGTTGTTTAAATTCTTCAGTAGCTCTCAAAATTTGTTGTTCTGCCTTTTCTATTTCGTCATGCAGTTCTGATAGTCGAGTTTGTGCTGCAAATTTAAAAACCATGCTCACATAATATGAAACAAGAAAAATATTGAATTCTGAAATTTCTACCAGATATTCCTTCTTTGTAATATCCTTCTCCCCTCTCTATTAAACTGTCATTATACATCACAAAAAAAATTTTAAACTAATTACTTATGATTGGCTTTTGTCTATTAATTAATCTCTAAAATAAACTGTTTCATGATATGGTATAGAACTCGAATTGTTTTGTTTCATTCTGTTTTGAGATGGAGTCTCGCTCTGTTGCCCAGGCTGGAGTGCAGTGGCACGATCTCGGCTCACTGCAAGCTCCGCCTCCCGGGGTTCATGCCATTCTCCCGCCTCAGCCTCCTGAGTAGCTGGGACTACAGGTGCCTGCCACCATGCCCGGTAAATTTTTTTTTTTTTTTTTTTTTGCATTTTTAGAAGAGACGGGGTTTCACCGTGTTAGCCAGGATGGTCTCGATCTCCTGACCTCATGATCCGCCCGCCTCAGCCTCCCAAAGTGCTGAGATTACAGGCGTGAGCCACTGCGCCCAGCCGGTATAGAATTACAATCGATCCTTTTATTTGTAAAATTCTTAACATGAAAGGGGCTATTCCCAACACCAGTAAACCCTTTTTACTAGAGAATAAGACTTTTATTGGGAAATATGCACTTTACATGTCACTAAGTTATAATTAGGTTCAGGGTATTAAAAATAACCCATAAAACCTTGTGTTAGAGGGAAATGCTTTACGATGGAATTCAATATCAAGAAATTCACTACTGAGCTCTCTCTCCCAGCTGTAGATGATCTCAAATCAATTATTTTCCACCTCAAATTTAAGATTTTTCTCTCCCTCTCCCCTATAAAACTGAGTCAGCCCCTTTAAAGCTAGTCTGCACAAAAATCTGATTTATTTTTGCTTTCCCCCAGAGACTTGCATATAGTATAGGTAGACATAAATAACTCAGTTTCTTCTCTTCCTTCACCAAGTCAACTTCTATTTGCCTTCCATGTCTTCCATTTAGCTACCACTCAAGGAAAGATAAGCTGCTGGTCTGATTGAGAGCACCACAGTGGGCCATAATGCTAGGGGGATGCACAAATCCCGGTAAGGGTTCTCTTTCTTCCATATCCACGCAGCTGAGTGGGTAAGCAGATTCAAAGTCTGTCATTGGCAGGGTCTCTAAAGTGCCCCCGTCTTGACTTCTTCCTTTACGTGACTTGCCAGAAGGTATTAAGATCCCTTGAATTAGATTGTGGGGCGTGGGGCATGTCAGGAAAAGTCAGAGGCTACCCTTAGACCCAGGCCTGAGGAGAATGCTCTGTTCCAGCTTATACAAAGCATTGCTTTAGGTTTTTGCTACGTGCATAGTAATCAATCAAGTGGTTCTTTACTTGCTTCAGTTATTACTAATTGTGACTTTGAATATATAGTTCCAGTGCTTATTTGAAAGAGGGGATTTACTCATTCTTGAATCCCCTGGACATGTTGCCACCAAATTACTGCCAAAAACTCTATTAACCATAACAGGAATCATTACAAAATAAATGCTCGATATATCTGCTTGATAATCACTACTTTTGTTTTAGACTTTTCATGGAAACAACACCATCAACATGTTCAATTAAAGGAGTTACAGGGCCGGGCGCGGTGGCTCATGCCTGTAATCCCAGCACTTTGGGAGGCCAAGGCGGGTGGATCACAAGGTCAGGAGATTGAGACCATCCTAGTTAACACAGTGAAACCCTGTCTCTACTAAAAAAATACAAAAAAATTAGCTGGGCGTAGTGGCAGGTGCCTATAGTCCAAGCTACTCAGGAGGCTGAGAATGGCGTAAACCCGGTAGGAGGAGCTTGCAGTGAGCTGAAATTGCACCACTGCACTGCACTCCAGCCTGTGCGACAGAGCGAGACTTCATCTCAAAAAAAAAAAAAAAGTTATAAAACAAAATTGGCCTACATATTCAATGTTTTTATATTTTTTAGAAGAATTTTAAAAATAACTTTTTTTAACCTGCACTTATTTTTTTTTCTTTGTCTTCCAGTTGCCTGTCCAGCGGTGCGTGGCCTCTCAAGTTCACGTGATAATTTCTAAGTTGTTCATCTGGCTCCATCTTCTTGATCTGTATTGCCTGAGCATTATCAATAATATAACTCTCTGTGGCAAACATATTTCTCTTGTATCTGGATTTGCCAATGTAAGGGCTTTCATCTGGGGCTTTATCAATTTCAGCATACTAAAAGCAAAATAATAGACTTATGGTTTAATAAGTGACCTCCAAGCTGTCAAACGACATTATTCATTTTATTAGTGGCAAACATATCACAGAATTGCTCAAGTTATATAAATCCTACATGCCTAGAAGCTGAAAGATATATGTTATTCTTTTATCTTCTTAATATACCAAAAAGGAAATTAGAACTAAAAATGGTCTCAAAAGAATTCTTCCTCCTACCACTGAAGAGTGAAAGTTTGGACTGATTGATTAAAGAAACTGCCTACAGTTATGTGATTTTTAGCACTGCTTGATCTCTCAAATTGGAAATATGGGTGTTTTATTTTGGTTTCTTGGCTCATATAAGTAAAATCTCAGTCTTCTTTTTTTTTTTTCAGATACATGGTATGCAGCCATCAGTACAATACATTTTAATAATTGAAGTTTTAAAAATGAAATATATGATATTGGTTGGAGTCACTGGGTCTTAGAAGTTTGGCATTTCCTCACTTGCAGTGACATTATGGCATTTGTACCAGTCATGACTGACTAATATTGAACCCAGTGATTACTGAACACACCATGTAAGGAGATGACTATTCCATGGTACTGAAGCACTTATCCCAGACGTCTGGATTTAAGGGAACTGATCAACCCATACACCTGGGAAAGAGCGCTGAGAGTTAGACGACTGCTTTTGGTAATGGATATGGCTATGAGCAAAGATTTTTTACCTCTTTAGGATACTGTTCTAACTCCCTGAGCCAAATAATTCATAGATTCAACCAAAATACAGTTTACTCCTCTCATAACAAGAAAGTGGAATGATATCTGATGAAATCCCTTACATGTCCTCACCACCTGCCCTCCCCCATTCCATCCCATGTGGGTTTTTAACTTTGGGTTACCAAAAAAATTAAAATAACTCACCTCTGATGGATAATAATTTAGTGGCTCAAATTTAGCATCAATTTTATAAAAGGCCAATTCCTGTTCCAGCTCATATTGCTTCTGACACGCTCGTGTTAGTTCTATGGTCTTCTGTTTTAGCTATTGGCCAAATTTGATATGAGACAACATACAGGATCAGTAAGTTAGTATAAAGATGTGACGATATGGTTAAGTTCTCATCATAAGTAATAATTATATAGGTTTAAAAACTCCACAGTAAGCTGCACAACACTCAGAACATTTTATCTTACTTCTAAATTATAAAAAATGAAACACAAAATTATCATTCCATAAGAGATCAAGTAAAAGACCTTTGAAGTTTACAAGCTGTTTCAGGATATAATGAATAATGATTTTTAAAATCTCTTACGTTTGTTAAACATGAAAATATTTTTGTATCAATTATTTTTGTGTAACTGGACTAATAAATACATACTTCCTGATTTTCCAATAATTAGCACTAAAGAAATTAATTTCTTTAACTGACTTTCCAACTTTAACAATAGTTTCAAATTATAAGGGAAAATGATAACTGACACTAACTGCAGAGAAATAAAGAGGAATCAGAAAGATGAAAATAAGAGCTTGGTTTGAATTGTCATACTGTTGTTGCTATAGTATTTGTGGCTAATGGCATCGCAGTTTTAAGTGTTCAGAACATTATTCTTTGTAATAAAGAATAAGGGATGTAATAAAGAATAAGGGATCCAAATATATAATATTCAATTTTAATAAAGTAATTCTACTATAACTTTTTATTCTTAGAAATTTTTGGAGCTTGCAGAAGACAAATGATCCAATCTAATTCTCTGAATTTATAAATACAGAAATTAAGTTTCAGATTGGTGAACTGACTTGTCAAAAGTTACATATTAGATTAGTGTCAGAAACTAAATATTTTATTAACTAACTACTAGTACTAGCTCCTTTCTACTAAACCAAACTTTGAGTTTTTTCACAGATCCACTAAGTGATTTTTGTCTTTTTTTGGCCAGTGTCTGATGGTAGATATCAAAGAAAAAACATGCAGAAAAATTTCATTAATATAAAAATGCAAGTTGAAGAGAATAAAACATAAACAAACACAAACATTTTACACGGCCCAAGAAATCAAAGTCGTGCATGATTTAGCTCACAGTCACCTCCTGATTATCCATCAAAATGGAACTAACAGCCTAGATAACGGGTAACATTTGGCCAAATACTCAATGTGTGCCAGACATTGTGCTAAGCATTTTACATGTGTTATTGCACTGAATCTTTACAACCACCCAATAAGATGATAAAAGCTGCACAGCAAAGTTAAATAACTTGCCCAGTTTCACAGCTGGTAGTGGAAGAGGCAGAATTCAATTCCAAGTCTCCTGATTTCAAATCCAACACTGCCTATTGCTCCACGCTGCCTTCAATGTACTGCTGCAGGGTGTCCAGCACATTACCCACATTGATATTTTCACTGAATGCTCATAACTCTCCAAGTCTCAAGAAAGCAACTCACAATCAACACTGTCAACTAATCTTGGGTTCTCTCCTCAAAACTCATTGGCAATAGTGGCAAACAAAAGGCAAATGTGACTGGAATCATAGAGAATACAACTGGTCTCTGCAGGCAAATAATAATAAATAGGCTGTGCATTTCAAAGTCTTTTGTGTCTTTTGTGCATTTTATGTCTTTTATAAGCCCTAGGCTTAGCATATAGTAAGCACTCAATAAATGTCTGTTGAATAAATGCATGAATAAAAGCAAAATAGAAGTCAAATGAACTGGAAAGTAGGCTAGTCGCAGTATTAGCTGTGGATAATCAAGAGTTGACTGCAGGTAACATATTTACCAATCAGAAAAATAATTCTTTCCCCCACATTCAAGTTTGCTCTCCTATATAAACATCCATTTAAAAAAAAATTCATACACACACAACCACATTTCCCAAGAAGACAAGCCAGTTTCAAAACTTAAAATGTAAGCAAGCATATTAATGCAAGTTATCATGCAAACTCTGAAAAACATAGTATGCAGTTCAGGCCTGGAAGAACTACCTTTAAGGAAGAATAAAGAATCAGCAGAAAAGGGCCTGCAAGAAACCAAGACAAGGGCTAAAGAAGCAAACAGATACTGTCACCTGGAGAATTAAACTGTAATAATACAAGTTTCTCTTTACTGAAAACTTACCATAGGAAGACATTGGCTTTTAGTATTGGCATTATTCTTACATGGACATATTTTATTGCCATTCTGAGTTACAGATTTACTACCTTCCGTTACTTAGCTTGATTCATTTCAAATTGTTTTCACACTCATTACCTTATTAAATCCTCACAATTCTGTGAGGCTAGCAGGACAGGTAAATAACCCTCATTTTAAATATAACTAAACTGAAGCACAGGAATTAAATAATTTGCAAAAAGACAAAGAGTAAATTTGGTTAATATTTATTGGTGGCAGGACAGGACTACTACAGTTTAAATGGCCACCAGAAGACTTATTTCAATGCTACTTTTCTTTTAGACATTAATCGGCCTAATGCATAAGCAATTACTTTTTTAAACTGGAAAACTTCACATAATTGCAGATGATATTATCATTAGATATTCTACAAAAGATAATAAAAATGTTTTCAAATGTAAGCTCTTAGAATAAGACCCAGAATTATTTTAGGCATCTAATAGTCCTTGGGACTAACAGAATAGGCAGAACCAATATGAACTGGTAATTTAAAGAAGAAATACAAAATAGCCAATAAATATATATGCAATACTCAATGCTCCAACAACTATAAAAATTCAAAATTAAAACAAGATTCCATTTTTTTCTACCATATGTACAAATTCAAAATAATAATATCCACTTGGAAATTGGATACTTTCTTCCCTGCTGTGGAAATGTAAATTGGTTAGAAGTTTTTGAAGTGTGCATTAACATTTATCAAAATTTTAAATGCAAATTACATGGTAATTCCACTTCTAGTGGTTTATGCTAAAGAAATACTAGTATGAATGCATAAGGTATATATAGACACACACACACACAGATTTTCTCTGTAGTACTGTCTCTAATAGCAAAAAATGTGAAAGCAACCTAAATATCCATCAGTAGGAATAGGCTAACTAAAATATGAAGAATACATTTAATGGAACACAACACAGACTTTAAAAAGAGTGAGAAAGCTTTATATATGCAGGTACATATATTTTTTAACTTGGAGAGCTGTCCGTGTATGCTGTTTTGTGAAAGTTAAGATGCTGAATAATAATATACAGTCGACTTTCCATATCTGTGAGTTCTGCATCTGTGTATTCAACCAACCACAAATTAAAAATATTTTTTAAAAGGATAGTTGCATCTGTATTGAACATGCATAGATATTTTTTCTTATTATTTCCTAAACAATATATTTATATAGCATTTACAATGTCTTAGGTATTATAAGTAATCTAGCAATGATTTTAAAGTATACTAGAGGATGTATGAAGGTTACTTGCAAATACTACACCATTTTACATAAAGGACTTGAGCATCCGTGGATTCTGGTATCCATGGGGGTGTCCTGGAACCAATCCCCTACAGATACAGAGGAATGACTGTATACAGTAACATTCCTTTTTTTAATTACAAAAATATTCAAAGGTATAATATGCATAATTATATATACATTATGTAATTACATGTATACTGTATAAGAAGCATGGAAAACAAAATATTAATATCTGGGGAATGGGGTAGGGAAGAGTGGACTTTCATTTCTGCTAAATACAGTTATGTTGTCTAAATTTGTTACAATGAACATACGTTAATTTTGTATATAAATGTGTTTTTACTTTATTTTTATTTTTGTAGAGACAGGGTCTCATTATGTTGCCCAGGCTGATGTTGAATTCCTGACTTCAAGTGATCCTCCTGCCTCAGCCTCCCAAAGTGTTGGGATTAAAGGCGTGAGACTGGCATAAACATGTTTTTAAATGGTTAATGATAAAAATAACAATGACATAGAAAAGAGCACAGTCTGACTTCTAACAAAAATAGGTATAGAAAAAAAAGCAAAAACTTCTGACAGTTTACAAAACATTTATTCACAGCACAAACATATCAATAACATTATAAATAAGCAAAAGAGAAAACTAGGCAACTACAGTTCATAGTTTTGGGATAGTGGAAAGTCTTAAGGTCTGACATTTTGCCAAGGTTTTCAATGGGCTGACTAACGTGCACCAGGGAATTAGCATAAAGATATTATAAAGTTATTTTATCTTAGTAATAAAAGATGGATTCCATGTCCAAAAAGACTTATAACTCACGAAAATCTGGATAATTTTGCCAGATTGCCTTCTAAATGTTTTTGCCAATGAACAGCCTCACCTACAATGTTGTTTTTAAAAATTACAAATGTCTAGGAGTACATAATGCAGCCCAAGATCCCATCAGTCTTTTGGAAAGCCATATCATCCAGTACACCGTCAACTGCAATTCATAAGCCTTTCACACATATTTCTGTTAAACCACGTCTTCCCCATTATATGGTCAGGAAGTTGTATTTTTAGACCCAAGGGCAAAGAATTATCTGTCTTAAGAGAATACAGCCAAAGCAATGTAAAATATGAACTTACCAATTCATTTTTTGTGTTTAAGTCACTCTTGAGTTCCTCACAGCTCTGTTTCTGTAACATGGCCTCCTCTTTCAATGATTTGTTCAATTTATCTTGATTTTTAATTTCCTCAAGAAACTTTGTTTGTTTGCTCTTAAGCTCTTCAGTTTCTATCATCTTTTTTTCTAGGTCTCTTTCCAGTCTTTCCACTTCTTCTGTCAATGAAAATTTAATAGTTTATTTATCATTATATTTCCTATTTTTAAAAAGATAAGAATATTTCTCAAAACAATAGCAAAAAAAAGGCTAAAAATATCATAAACACAATTCTACTTTTAAAATTAGCCACCACGGTTTTGGAAAAAAGACTATCCTGATCTTGAAATTGATTTATAGTAAGAGGCAAGAAGACATCATTTTGATGACATTTTTAAAAGATTAATACTTTACTTCCAAGTATTTAATCCAATTAGTGTGCTGATAAATGAGTTTTTTTCTAGGTGACCTTTGAAAAACATGCAATATTTGATCTGACATTAGTAATTACATTTAAAAGGATGCTGCAAACATATTTGCAAAATTTTGTATTATCTTAAAATTATTCAATGGCTTTCTGTTACTCTTAGGATAAGATCCAACAGGCTTGCAAAAAGGTGATAAAGCTCTTCATAATTTAGACTCAACCTCCCTCTTCTGCCTCATCTTCAAGCATACTCTACTGCAGCTTTCTTAAAGTGATCCCATTTCTTCAGATTTGTGATGCCTCTTCTCACCTATAGGCTTTTATTCACACACTTTCCCTAGAACTGTCTTCCTCTACCTCCTACTGAGCTATTTTGCATCCTCCAGGTCTTAAGTTTTAAAAAAAATATATTGAGAAGCCTGCCCAGGCCCTATCCTGTCGCCAGGTTAGATGATTCCGAAGTATGCTCCCACGCTACCCTGAAATTCTGCTTGGCCCTTGTCACACAGGGAGTTGTAAAATGTGATCAAATAGCTTAGCTGTCTGCCTTCCCCCACTAAAGTGTCACAAAAGCAGAAATTATATCTATCTGGCTCACCTAGACTAGATCCTAAGAGCCTAGCACATTAAAGTCTCCTAATTAATATCTGAAGGCATGAAGAAACCATAAGTAGTCTAACCATTTCCCCCAAAAGTTATCTAGATGACTTTCCTTTGCATTATTAATATTTTTAATGATTCCAAAACATAAACTTCAGAATAACAAATGTTGAGTTAGGGAGATTCCAAACTAATAAAAACTTGCCACATTTGTCCAGTATTGGATCAAATCATATGAAATTGCCAGGTTTGCAGATCAAAACAGACTAACACTAATTTCAAATGAACATACAGGCTCATTTCCCAATACTCTAAAATGGCTATTTCATACCTTCCTCTTTTTTTTTTTTTTTTTTTTGAGACAGAGTCTTGCTCTGTTGCCCAGGCTGGAGTGCAGTGGCATGAACTCTGCTCACTACAAGCTCCGCCTCCTGGGTTCACGCCATTCTCCTGCCTCAGCCTCCTGAGTAGCTGGGACTACAGGCGCCTGCCACACGCTCAGCTAATTTTTTGTACTTTTAGTAGAGATGGGGTTTCACCATGTTAGCCAGGATGGTCTCGATCTCCTGACCTCGTGATCCACCCGCCTTGGCCTCCCAAATTGCTGGGATTACAGGCGTGAGCCACCGCGCCCAGCTCATACCTTCCTCTTTCTTCTCAAACTTCCCATGCACCTTCTTCTATTTTCTCTCTCACCTGATGATCTCACATTTAATTAAGAAAATGACCCCATCAATAAGAACTCCCTATTTTCCCACCACCACAGCAACAAAACTACCCACACCTGCACATATCTTTGCTCCTTTCTGAAGGAGAAAGTGTCACTCCTACCAAAGGGATGATTTTTTCCTTTTTTTCTCTAATCTCATTCTTTTGTCTTCTCAAAAACCAAAAGAATTGAGCCATGTCTTGTTTCTCCACTCTGCTTTCAGCTTTTTTTTTTTTTTTTTAGACAGAGTCTCGCTCTGTCATCCAGGCTGAAGTGCAGTGGCACGACATCAGCTCACAGCAGCCTCTGTCTGCCAGGCTCAAGTGATTCTCCTCTCTCAGCCTCCCAAGTAGCTGAGATTACAGGTGCCCGTCACCACATCCAGCTAATTTTTGTATTTTTAATAGAGACAGGATTTTGCTATGTTAGCCAGGCTGGTCTCGAACTCCTGACCTCAAGTGATCCACCTGCCTTGGCCTTCCAAAGTGCTGGGATTACAGGTGTAAATCGGTACACCTGGCCTCCACTCCGCTTTTGAATATTCTGTTCATTTGGTTTTTTGTTTTCTGGCTTTGAGGTTTACTGCATTTGTTGTTTCTGCCCATTTCCTGGTCTGGAAGCCACTGGTGAATTTTTTATTTTTTATTTTTGATCTTTTAAAAAAATTATTTATTAAGTACTAGAAGAGACATTGTGGGAGAAAATTTCAAATCTCCAGCCAAATGTCTCCCTCCTATTCATTCTCCAATCCATTATAATCTAGCATCTGTTCCCATCATTTCCTTTTTTTTTTTTTTTTACATGGAATGTTAGAAATTTCTTTATTATGACTTATTCTTATTAAGCGCCAGCTTAATGCTGCAGAAAACTTCAAATCACCCTTGATAACCCACTTTCTTGTCTCCCACCCAAATTACTGATCAAGAGTTTTTCAAGTAAAGACATGCTCTTCTCTCTTCTGTATAAAACTTTACGAAATAAAGGCAAAAGATTGTGTACATCTCACTGGAAAATGCTGCCCAGGGCTCTGGAGACGGTGGCTGCCCGGGTTCCCTTCACTGTCCAGGTCCTGAAAGACTCTTGTTCATGAACTGTCTCTTCACAAAGCAAATCCACCACTTGCTAGGTTTATCATTCCGAGGGTCAAAAACTTTCTCACAAAGTCTCAGTCCAGTCTCTTGCCTTAGCTGTTGTAAATAGGCTCTCATCACTTCATCTTCCTGTTTGTTTGCAGGTTTGGCATAAATTGCGTTAAGTGGAAAACCAGGCTCTCCAGGAATGGGAAAATTAGTGATTCCCAATGTATACATTTATTTCTCACCTTGGCTTTTGGAATTGCACTTTTGGAGTTTCTTCAGACATTCAGAAATATAGAGAGTTATATATACCAAGGTCCTATCAGCTTCATTCTTAATTTCATAGTTTTTGAAGAAGACATTGGCCTTGAAGTAATAGATGGCTTCATCCACAATATCTGTATCTTTTGTCTCTCTGGGTGCAGGTCCTTTGAATTGACTTCTGATAAGTAACAGTGCCATGTTTCCGATGAGTTTGGTGTCAGGATCCATGAGAGAAGAGTGGTAAGCCGGCATCTTGGCAGCACCCGGATTCCAACCCAGAGGAGCAGAATCTCTGTTCCCACCATTTCTTAACTACTCCTGTCAAGATCATTATCATCTGTTGCCAATCTAAAGCACTTCTCTGCTTATCTCACTTAATATCTCAGCAACATTCAACAGAGTTGACCACTTCCTCTCTTGAAAGCTTCTCTGGGCTATTTCCCACTATTTCCTGGTTTTCTTCTACCTTGCTGGCCTCTCTTTCTCAGCTTCCTTAGCAACTACTTTTCTTCTTTCTCCCAGCCACTGCCTGAGTAAGCTGATTTCCATGGAATTTAACGTCATTTTTATGCTGATGTGACTCAGCATAAAATTTGTATGGCTAGTCCAGATCTCTTTAAACTCCAGACTCACATTTCTGACTCTTTATTTGACACCTCCACTTAGCTGTCTCACAGACATTTCAAATTGAATATGTCCTAAACAAACCTCTGAATTCTCCATTTTTATAAATGATATCTCCATCTAGCCACTTACTTGAACCAAAAGCCTGGGGATTATCCAATCCATTAGAAAACGCTGCTACTTCTACCTTCAAAACTGATCCATCTATATTTCATTTCCACATCCAACATGTTAAGTACAGGCCATCAACGTTTCTAACCTGGATCACTCCTATCCAAGTGTTAACCAGGGCTGACTCTGCTTAGCTTTCAAGATCTTGTGACTGCATTCAGATGGTATGGCATAGACTCCAGCCTAGATTACTACACTAGCCTCCTAATAGGTCCCTTCATCTCCATTTTCCCTTCTCCAAATCATTCTACTATGTATCAAAAATGATGTCCTATCCCTGCTTAAAAATTGTCAGTGGCAGCTGGGCACGGTGGCTCATGCCTGTAATCCCAGCACTTTGGCAGGCCGAAGTGGGTGGATCACCTGAGGTTGGGAGTTCGAGACCAGCCTGACCCTGTGAGAGAAACCAGAGAAACCCCATCTCTACTAAAAATTAAAAATTAGCCTGGCGTGGTGGTATGTGCCTGTAATCCCAGCTACTTGGGAGGCTGAGGCAGGAGAAACGTTTGAACTTGGGAGGTGGAGGTTGCAGTGAGCTGAGATTGCACCATTGCACTCCAGCCTGGGCAACAAGAGTGAAACTGTGTCTCAAAAAAAAAATTGTCAATGGCTTTCCACTGCAGCTGAAATAAAATACAAATTCCAAGGCCCTGTGCCGCCTCACACCTACCTATGTCTACACACTTTTTATTGAGCTGTCCTCCAGTCTATCTGATTTTCTTTCACTTCCTTAAACTCACAGGGTCTTTTGAACTAAAGAACAAGCTGTTCCCTCCCCTTAATGCCATTCTTCACGCGGCTAACCCTCTCTTCTCTTTGCTTTCAGGTTAAATGTCACTCCCTCAGAAAGCCATTCCTCTATGCCACAAAGAGGGCTCCCCTCTGTTACTTTATCTGATTTATTTGCTTTTTGTCTGTCTTTTCTGCCAAAACATAAGCTGCATGGATGCCAGCACCATATGTCTTGCTCCCCATTGTATTCTTAGTGCCAAATACAATGCCTGGTTCACAGTATACATTCAGTAAATATTTGTTGAATCGATTTATGCTGCCATTTCCTGTGTACATTTTAATAGCATTATAAAGTTCATAATACATATTTCTAGATAACTTCTGAAACTAAATTCCTCCCTCACCGAAATTTATTATTTTTTTAAGTTTAATCTTACCTAAACTGAATCTCTCAAAAGCCTCCTGTCTATCCTGAGTGGTTACTGGCTGACCTTCCAAACTTTCCAGTGAACGGAGGTGGAAAATGGTAAACTGGAGGTAATGAGGAAGGGTCACAACTGGATTTTCAACTAGGATCAGAGAAATCAAATCTTGAAGCGGTTTCAACTTGCTTATATCTTGGAGCTGAAATGATATAACATTAGTATTGGTATCATGTAATTTAAAAATCATAGCATACCTAAAGGAAGTTACAAATCAACTAAATTTAACATGGCAAGGAATCTACTCATGAAACCAATTACCCAAAAGTAGTGGTAATACTTTTGGGTATTTCCAGTATGGAAAGGGAGTATATGAGTATTTATGGTATATTTGGGCAGTATTAGGCATTTTTCCATACACTGTTTCATTTATGACTCCTCACAACAACCTATCATGTAAGTATCATCTTAATTTTACAGATGAAGAAACTCAGGATCAAAGAAGTTAGGTGACTTGCCCAGAGTTCAAAGCCTGTAAGTGAATGAAACAGGATTTGAATTCAAGTTCGTGTAACTCTCAACTTTGTCTTTTCATTATACTGATTCAACAAATCAAAAAAATGAATGGTTATAAAAAATATTTTGGCAAATCTTCAGATAACTGTGCTATAATTGATAGTTTATTCAGATAGTTTATTCTCAACCTAAAAATGTTGAGAAACAGTGCTCCAAATAGCTAGTACAAATAAATCTTCTCTCCCAAGTGAATGTGCAGCACTCTTCATAATGCCAATGTCAAATATCAACGGGGTGAGGACAGCATACAAAATTAGAAATAAATATTTATTGATTTTCCTATTGCATAGCTGACACTAAGTTGACACTATCTAAGGATCAACTACTTCAGGAATATTTATGGCAAATTTTAGATCTATGGCTACCTCTTCCCATCATCCCATAGCGTCAACAGCTCCAAGGTGATGCTGTACAAAGTGGGTTTGGGCTTGGGCTCTGACGCTCCTGGACTGTCACAGGATAAAATCAGAAAGCATAGGTATTGTTAACAACACGGCATTAAATGAATATTGCTTCTTCTTATTGGCCTCCACTGGTGAAGGCTTAAAGAATATAGCTTTAGACTTATTTAGTGTTTTAAAGTTTTTTTTAAAGCATTTTTCACATCTATCATTTCATCCGAGCCCCCATAATATCCCTGTAAAGGAGGCAGTATAGGGATTATTTTCCCCAAACAGTGAGTTTTAGAGGGATTAAAGAATTCTCCAAGGTCATGGAAGGCAATTCTATAGAGACTCATCTCTGAAGTCACATTTTTCATTTTCTATTCTACAACTGATGTTCTTTAAATTATAGCACAGTTTTCCCAATTTTAATACAAATTTAAATAAATTAACATTTTTACTAAGCAAATGCTTATTAAATACCTAGCTGTGAATAAATACCATAAGAAAATCATAAACTATACTCCAGAGAAAAATATACAACATCATCTAAATATGTAAATCATGATAACAAAGTTGCTCTATATTGAAAAGCTAGTGATCAACCTCTTGTAACACCTAACATCATAATCAAAATAAACTGGTAAATTTGAAATTAAAAGTTAATACTGTCAAAAAAAAAAAAAAAAAAAACCCAGAACTTTCTTCCAGGCATTCAGTGATCTGGATTCTGGCACAAAATGTGACTCTGGATAAGGGACTTAACCTGTCCTAGACCTACTTGTTACTACCTAACTCATAGCGATAGAAAAATAATCCCTGTACCGCTTTCTTAACAAGAGTGTTATGAGGCTCACATGAAATGATAAATGTAAAAATGCTAAGAGATCAACTCTTGGTTACTATGGAACCCATGCAAAATGAGGACTGCTTGTATTTAATGAATCTAGAAAATCATGGGCTATGTCTGAATCTAGTGTTTAGACAAATGACTAAAACTTTAAAAGAAGAAATCCCATTTTTAAAAAACTTAGATATGTTTAATCTTTTATTTTTCAACAAGTCTACACATTCCTGCTATTTTGAATAACTTACCGATGATATCTTGTTGCCTTTCAAATTGAGGACTCGCAAAGATTTTAACTTCTTCCCTAACCATACTGGAATATGCTCAATTTCATTTCCTGCAAGGTTAAGCTTTTGCAGATTACACATATTTTCTATGCCTTCAATTTTGCTGGAAAGCAAAGGATAAAATAAAATTTAGTAAGTATAATTATAGAGTCTCTCATTGTATTTTTAGAATAAACAGCCTTAGCTCCATGTGAGATTATTTTTCATAATGATAATTTATCAACTCTTTTCATAAATGAGAACAAAGAAAAGTGGCTAAAGCCAAATTTACCAGAACAGCTAAACTGCCAACCTTTTATTACTATGCCAGGAATCCTATCCATCTTATTATTAGTCTTTGCAACTCCATAACATAGAAAAGAAAAATTTGTCCATGGCAATCTCACCAACTACTGCGAACAATACTAGCAAACAGCCAGCAGAGAGCTGGGAAACTCAATAGCACCCTGTGCTATCTGCTACATTCCTGTCCAAAAGATGTTCTTAATTATTGCCTTAAGTCATCATAAAAAGATTAGCTATGCCAGCAGGATATGGGAGCCCATAGATGATACTGTATTTATGAATATAAGTAATTTAATCAGAACTTTTAAATAAAGCATTTATCACACATATTGATGAATTCTGACTGATGAAGCTTTTTCCCAAGTCACTTCTAGTTTATTTGTCAATTTAATTCCTTGGTCAATTTTCTATACTGCACAAATACTTCAGAGCTTCTATCTACACTAGGTAAATATTTCTAAGCTTCTCTACTTTCACTTTTATTTTGCTGAAAATATTTTCATCAGAATCAACTTTTTATACAACTTTTATAATAAGGGTTTGGTTCATTAATCATTTTTTTTCACTTCAGTTTTGTCATATCAGAACTTCTGCCATTGCTATTCATTTTCTTGGCCATTCTATTTACCAAGTCTAACTTGGGGGAAAGCATACAGATATTAATAATTTCAAGATTTGATTATTGTATCATTTTGTCTATAACAAGTTTTCTATATGCAGTTTTAGCCACTGTCAGTTTTAGTATATTTATTTCTCACAGTAATATTTATTATGAATTGGAAACGATTGAGAGCATATTTCTTGTAGCAATGAGCAAAGAACATCAGAATCAAAACAGATTAGAACATCTTGGGGGTCAAAACGGCAAGGTTAAAACATTCTGCTTCATGTCAACATTCTTAACGCAATAAGGTAATAAAATCACAGACAATATCTGAGAAAACTCCCTGTCATAAACTAAATTAAGATATAATTTGGGGCTCAAAAATATATCTCTTTGATAATGCTAGATGTTATTCTGTACTTCAGTAATGCCAAAACATAAAGACAGTTACCTACCATATGTGAAGAGATAGACATTCATTTGATCAATGAATAAAGATAAAAAATCTTCTGTTTCTGTGTCAAAGGATTCTTTCAGTAATGTGGATAACATTAATCTACGTCTCTAACAAAGCTACCTACAATGCTACCTAAAGATTTTGTTATATAACTCACCTGATTTTGTTATAGGATAAGTTGAGTTCACGTAATTTTAACAGCTTGTCCAACTTTTCAATCTTCCCTATTAGATTATAGCTGAGATTCAGTACTTCAAGTTTAACACATTTTTCCAAATTCTCGATATACTAATTGGAAATAAATGCATAAATACTTTACACAACAGATGCCTTGACATACAGTATAATATTTACATATGTGCATCAGGGACTGTTTGATCAGTCATCAGAAAATAATATACCCTTACTGTTCTCCTGGACAATCCCTTGATGCAGCTCTCCTTGACTAGGAGTAATAACTCTACTCAAGCTACCAAACTCTCCTTGCCCTTCAGTAGACAACGACATTGTCTACATACTAAGAAGCTCAAGACTATCCAACAAGATTTCTCTCACTATCGTTCCCTCTACCTCAGTTTTGCTATACCTCTCCCTCTCATTCCCCTCTTTTCTTCCAGAAGGTAGTGCTATGGTTTTAGTTTATTTTCTGAAGATCTTGTTTGCTATAAAATCTATATAATATGTAGCTATTTAAGCATATATAAATATGTTTGCTATAAATTCTATAAAATATGTGTGTGTGTGTATATATATGCAAACAAGATCTTCAGAAAATAAACAGTGCTAACAAGGAAATAAAGACATCTTGTGACAGAGTGCAAGGCACCAACATGGCAGATTTTGTCAGTTTTGTTCACTACTCTAGCATTACTGCCTGGTGCTAAATACTTGTTGACTAAAAGAATGAGAGTGCAACTGAGGACAGGGTGGCTAATTGTGATTGGGTGGTAACAGAAGGCATCGGCCTGGAGGACAGAATGAGACCCTGTCTCAAAAAAAAGAGAGGACCTCACTAAGTTGAGACCTTAATAACAAGAAGCCAGCTGTATGAACATCTAGGTTGCCCAGGCTGGAGTATAATGGCGCGATCTTAGCTCACTGCAACCTCCACCTCCCGGGTTCAAGTGATTCTCCTGTCTCAGCCTTCTGGGTAGCTGGGATTACAGGCACCTGCCACTACGCCTGGCTAATTTTTGGTATTTTTAGTAGAGATGGGGTTTCACCACGTTGCCCAGGCTGGTCTCAAACTCCTGACCTCAGGTGATCTGCCCACCTCAGCCTCCAAAAGTGCTGGGATTACAGGCGTGAGCCACTGTGCCCAGCTGCTGCTTTTATTTTAACTTTTTAAAATACATCTTTCATTAAACACAACTTTTAAGTCTTTATGCATGTTAAATCTGTCAATACTTTTCCTTTGTGGTACTAGGGTTAGTATTTGCTTAGGGGGAACTTCACCACTCTAAGATTTTTAAAATATTCTCATATACTCTCTCTAATACTTTTAGAGCATTTCTGCTGGTTGGTTTTTGTTTTGCTTTGTTTTCATTTAGTTCTTCACCCTTCTGGAATTACTTTTTGTGAATAATATGTGGTAGAAATCTAAGGTTTTTTTCTTCCAATTAAAGGAATTAAGTTGTCTATTATAATGTGTTCATGTTGTATAGTTTATGAATAAAGCTGTAAACACTCTAGAGCAGAAATTAGCAAACATTTTCTGTAAAAGGCTGATATGGTTTGGCTGTGTCCCCACCCAAATCTCATCTTGAATTCCCATGTGTTGTGGGAGGGACCCAGTGGGAGGTAATTGAATCATAGGGGCAGGTCCCGTGCTGTTCTCGTGAGAGTAAGTCTGATGAGATCTGATGGTTATTATAAGGGGGAGTTTTCCTTCACAAGCTCTCTTTTTGCCTTCTGCCATCTATGTAAGATGTGACTTGCTCCTTTTTGTCTTCCACCATGTTTGTGAGGCTTCCCCAGCCACGTGGAACTGTAAGTCCAATTAAACCGCTTTCTTTTGTAAATTGCCCAGTCTTGGGTATGTCTTTATCAGCAGCATGAAAACGAACTAATACAAAGGCCAAATAGTAAATGTTTTTGGCTTTGTAGGCCATATAGTCTGTGGCAACTACTAAGCTCTGCTACTGTAGTGCAAAAACAACCATAGACAATATGTAAACAAATAAGTGTGACTGTGTTCCAGCAAAACTTTACTTACAAAAATAGCAGGCCTGATCTAGCCTGTAAGCTGTACTTTGCCAACCCCTTCTCTACAGAGTCAATATTTTAGAGAATATTGAGTAATAGAAACCTATTAATTTGGAGATGTCATATACTTCTGATTTAGAATATTCACTGGAAACAATAAAAGGTCTGCCACAAATTAGGCAACATTAGGATAATTTTTTTTCGCAGTTTTAAAGCACAGAAAAGTTAAAAACAGTATCTATGCTCAGAAATTGTTGGTCCTACCTTAAATTTCTTGCCACCATCTTTAGAAAGAGAAAGGTTCAGAGACTTTATCAAGGCCAAATTGTCCTGTTTAGTAAGTTTTTTAATGAGGGCCTCTGTAATATATCGAACTCCTGCATGTGAATCAGCTCCTGAAATTACAGAAACAGATCATCATCAGTAGAGGAAAGACATGAATATCACAAAGAACAAATCGTTTTGATGTTATATAACAAAAACAAAAATTAAGCCATGCATATACCAAGAAAAGCTGGCTATTTCTAATCATAATGTTTTAATAATGTTTTACTTCATAGCATTTCATAACTATAATGAGGATGATAATGGTTATACACACTATAAATATTTGCTGTGTGCCAAACTTTGGGCTAAATGGTTTACATTTTTAAAATTTAATTTATGCAACAAACCTTTGAGATAAAAATTACTAATATCATCACTTATTTAAAAAACATCATTTGCTCAAGATCCTACAGCTAATTAAGGCACAAATCCAGAACTTGAACCCAGTCAGAGGAATATAAAACTTGCACTTTTAACTATATGAAGTTTTTTTTAGCAATATTTTCATGTTAGTTTTTAAAAATAAACTGGTAATAGTTGTTTGTTTTTTAGAAAATTCCAATCTAAAGTTCAGAAACATTGAAATTCTTAAATATCTTTTCCTTTTTTTTTATGGTGAGAAACTCTAAATTTATTGCTCTTTTAAATAGAGAAAATCACAACATATTGTACAGAGCTAGAGTAGTCACTTGAGGGATGGCAAATCTGGTCTTATAACGTTCCTGGATATTGTTGTCAAAGACTGTTAATGCCATATTACATTTTACAAAAGTAGCCCTAAAAACAAAATCATCTCTTGGTTCTTGCCTTATGAGTCAGAAAAAATTAATCCTGTGTTGAGATCCAGGCTGTGAGTCAAAGATTCCCTAAGATTATTTATAAGTTAGTATTAAATTTATTTTGGTTCAAAATAAAATGATTTTTAAATTTAACTTGGCTTGTTCTGGGAAAGAAAATTAATATTTGATTAATATTCTAAATTTGATAATATTCTAAAATATCAATCGTATTAGAAATAACAATATGCCAACTAGCAGTAAAGATATAGCATAAATCCAATGTTGTTAATGCTTACTAATAAAACATGATTAGAGTTTAATGGCTATTATTTCACGACTTACCAAAGAATAACTTACTTTTGAAGTCAAATGCTCTACCACTAAGCTATACCCCCATCAATGCACTTTTGAGAACAGATTCCTAGACTAACAGAATGCTTTTAAGAAAAAAACAAAACACTGGTGGAACATACATGCATGCCCCATATATGGAAATCAGCCCATTCACAGATAAGCAGTTTGCTAATAAGAAGACTGGCATAGGCCAAGTATGGATAACATTTTTTTACTGAATTAAGGCACTCCACTCTGAAGTGAAAAGATCTTCCCTCCCTTAACCAAAGAGGATGGCAAGTTTTGGTATGAGTTTTAAGACACTCTCCTACCACAGGAAACAAAGCTTCCTCTTTCTGGAAACTCCCTCTTTGAATCTACTGACATCTTTACCCTCACCCAGAAACCTCAATCCTCCCACTATCCTTACACAGTTTCTGTTAATAGAAACAACAGATCAAATTAGTACCAGAATGTTACAGTTGGACCAAAAACGCAAGCTGAAAATTTTCCATCTCTACTTAAAGTATGTGGTCAGACCAATTCTTAGATTAAAAAGTGATACCTTTATGGTCTTGGTAGTCCAAAAGCATATTGTTTTCATCTGCAATCTCAACTTGCTCACACCACTGTCCTCCAGAATGAAAAGGTAGAGTCTCTGATCCAATCAAAGGTGAAAGTGACCTAGATCTCAGATTGGACATAGATGATGGGATAGGAGAGTGAGATGACGATGGCATCTTTGCTTTGCAGAATATTTTTTGTTGAGAACCTTTCTTCATTGCAAAAATAAAGCCAGGTGTTCATCAAAACCTGTAAGAGTTTTCAGTATATTCAACAAGATTAATTTTTAAGAGCTATCAAAACTATTATTTCTAGAAACTTCAGGTCTATAAAGTTATAAACTCAGAGGCTGTAGATACTAGGACCCATACTACTCCAAGCTGATGGAGCAGACACTATATCAAGCATCACTGATGACCTTGCCAGAGAGAAAAGAGATCTCCAGAGGGTCTAGAATTGACACATGCTCCAGCTGGAAGTGTTGTCATTCCTGTTGTTTATTGAACCAAACTAGTCCCAAGGCCCCTTTTACCCACACAAGGGGACCCTAGAATGCAGGAAGCTGGAATATTTGGCAACCAGCAGTATTTAATACTGATAAGCACTCTCTCCTTCCTCAAAGTTTCTTCCTTTGGTTTCTGGGACACCTCACTCTCCTGGTATCCTCGTGACTCCCTGGCCACTCCATGGACTCCTTTGCTGGCTTTTGTTCCTTCTTGCAGTGTAATTTAAACATCAGAACTCCTCAATGGTCCCTTCTAGTTTCTCTCTAATCTTATCTTGGACAAATTAATGCACACTCATGGTTCCCAATGCCATGTGTTTACTCTTATTTATCTATTTTTATTTTTTATTTTTTTGAGACGGAATCTCGCTCTTGTCGCCCAGGCTGGAGTGCAATGATGTGATCTTGGCTCACTGCAACCTCTGCCTCCCGGGTCCAAGCTATTCTTCTGCCTTGACCTCCTGAGTAGCTGGAATTCCTGGTGCCTGCCACCATGACCAGCTAATTTTTGTACTTTTAGTAGAGACAGGGTTTCGCCATGTTGGCCAGGCTGATCTCGAACTCCTGACCTCAGCTGATCTGCCTGCCTCAGCCTCCCAAATTGCTGGGATTACATATGGGCGTGAGCCACCACACCCAGCCGATATTTATATCCTCAATCCAATCTTTCTCTGAGCTCCAGACTCCTATTTCCAATTGCTTACGTGATATCTCATTGGCATCCTAAACTCAGTTCAGCTTGAATTTATTATTTACCCTATTCCTCCTCTCACCCTCCTGTTCCTCTTCCAGTGTTCCCTAAACAGTGAACACTGCTCGCTGGAATAAGCCAAAAACCTGGGAGTCATTCTTGACACCTCCCTCTTCCCTTGTCCCATACTCAGCCAATCGCTAAATCTTGTTAATTCTTACTCCCAAATACCTCTCAAATTAAGTCTGCTTCTTCCATTTTCACTCTCACGCACTCTAATCCAAGCCCTCATCAAACTACTATAACAGCTTCTAACTGATCTGTCTGCAAGCTCTCTTGCCTTACTCTTCCATCATTACATTGCAGTCAGATAGCCAGAGTGATGTCATTTTGCTTAACATTTGTCTCCATTCTGAACTGTATGCTCCACGAGAGCCTGTGTGTTTTGTTTACAGTGTCTCCCCAGTCTAGTATAGTGCCTGGTACCTAGCAGGAACTCAATATATATTTGCTGAATAAATGAACGAATAGAGTTATCTTCCAGTCATCCCTCTCCATCATCCACCAATATTGATTCTATCTCTAAAATAGTTTGAAATTCGTCTCTATCCATCTTCGCAGCTACTGCCCTAGATCCAACTTTTATCCTCTCTTGCTTTGACTATTAGATACTCTCTGAACCAGCTTCCTTCCAATTCTCCTTTGCTTTACCCTCAATCCATCCTCCACCTTTGACCCACTTATATAATAAAAACAAAAGAAATGTAATGGTTCCCAGTGCCTATGAGTCTAAATATTTTGGCACCATGCACCACAAACAGGACTCATCACAGTCTGACCCCAACTTTCTGGCCTCCCCATCACATGCCATTGCTCTAGTCATCTTTTTGTCATTACCTGAACACATCATGAGTTTTTGCTTATGAAATTCCCTTTCCTTAAAGGGAATTCTTTAAAGGGAATTAAACATCCTCTTCTTTCTCTCAACCAATTAAAATGTTACTTTATTTGTGAAGACTTTCCAGAAATCTACTTTCTTCAGATAGAATGAATCCTCCCTGTTTATTACACTGAATATACCTACTGTATATCTTTTGCTTGCCCAGAATGTAACATCAATAAGTGGAGGAATAATCTCTGAATTCCCAGCAGCTCCATGGTATAAGTCATGAATACATCTAACACCTTATAACTAGAAAGCACCCGGTTTAAAAACCATACTTTCAACAGTGTACTCTTTCATGCATGTGCTCTCTCTCTGTATGCATATTTTTTATTGGAATGTATCATACATAAAGTACATAAATCATAAGTGTATATAGCTTCATGAATTTCTATACAGTGAACACAAGCTATGTAATCGACATCCAGGTAAAGAAACAGAATATTTCCAGAATCCCAGAAGTCCTCTCATGCCCCCTTCCAGTCACTAACTCCCACACATGGGTAATCACTATCCTGACTTCCAACACCAGAGATTTTTGAACTATTTTTGAACTTTAGAGAAATGAAACCATAAAATATCTTTTAAATCTGCCTTTTTGTTAAATATTGTTTCTGTAATTCATTCATATTTGTCTTACGCTATATGAAAAACATCTGATCACTTCAAATTTCAGTGTCTACTATTCTTATCTACAAAATCAATTTTATTGAAGTATAAGTCTTCCAGAAGGAACTAAAGCATTTGTTAATGAAAGAGACCTTGGTCAAATTCCTTTAAATGTTTTCACATAAAAATATTTATTTTCTTATATGAAAGAAAGGTAAAGTTCATGACCATTAAGGCACAGAATGGTTTAGCACTATGACTTGATTAGTCCTTAAAAATGACATCCTCATCCGGGTGTGGTGGCTCATGCCTGTAATCCCAGCACTTCGAGAGGCCGAGGCAGGCAGATCATGAGGTCAGAAGATCGGGACCATCCTGGCTAACATGGTGAAACCCCATCTCTACTAAAAATACAAAACATTAGCCAGGCATGGTGGCAGGCGCCTGTAGTCCCAGCTACTTAGGAGGCTGAGGCAGGAGAATGGCATGAACCCGGAAGGCGGAGCTTGCAGTGAGCTGAGATCGTGCCACTGCACTCCAGCCTGGGCAACAGAGCGAGACTCCGACTCACAAAAAAAAAAAAAAAAAAAAAAAAGACATCCTCTTCTGTTCTAGGCATACAGTGTGCTGTGCCTACAGTGTGCTGTACGCTGTAGAACACAGCCTAGCAAATGGTAAATAATTAACATTTATTGAATGAATTAGTCATAAAGAACATAAAATGTAAAATGTACTATTTAGTATCTCAACAAAAAGATGCCTGCATGAGCAATACTAGTCCTCAATATCAATCGCCCTAAATTTGCAAGGTTAGTGTATGTAAAAAAGATTTTCATGATACACAGTTGTTCTTATTAAGTACGTTAAGTCTAAAAACAGTACAAAAATTATAAACTTGACAAACTTTTGGACAAAAAAAATCTTATAAGATGTATAGATCTTGAGCAAGGCTATATTAATAATGATGCTATCTTTGCTTAGTACCTTAATTTCCCCTATAGTCACTGCTGAAAATGTGAAAATGGAAATTATTTTTTAGAAAAAAATTTAATGAAATAAGATATTAGCTTAAAGTAGTTTTTAATCCAAGAATTGAGTAGCTCAAGTGTTAATGCTGTATAAATTGGTGTTAGAAAGGGATAGTGGAATGATGTGTAAACATCTTCATATACGTGATATTGTAAAATATCACACATATGATATCATGCATCACATAACAATGTTTTGGTCAACAATGGACCACATACATGACAGTAGTCCCATAAGATTATAATAAAGCTGAAAAATTCCTATAACTTAGTAATATCATAGATGTCATAATGTCATAGTGCTACACATTACTCACATGTTTGTAGCGATGCTGATATAAACAAACCTACTATGCTACAAGGTGTACACAAGTCTGGCACATACAATTATGTAGAGTACATAGTACTTGGTAATAAATGTCCGTATTACTGGCTTATGTATTTACTACACCATACTTTTTATTGTTAGAGTGTACTCATTCTATTTATTTAAAAAAAAAAAGTTAACTATAAAACAGACTCAGGCAGGTAGGTCCTTCAGGAGGTATTCCAGAACATAATATTGTTATCATAAGAGATGATAGCTCCATGCATGTTATTGCCCCTGAAGACCCTGAAGATCAGTGGAACAAGATATGAAAGGCAGTCACACTGATTATCCTGACCCTTACAGGCCTAGGCTAATGTGTGTGTTTGTGTCTCAGTTTTTAAAAAAACATTTAAAAAGTAAGAGTTTTTAAAATAGAAAAAAGCTTATAGAATAAGGTTATAAAGAAATTAATTTTGTACAACCGTACAATGTGTTTATGTTTTAAGCTAAGTTTTATTACAAAAGAGTCAAAACGTTTTTAAAAAGTTTAAAGTTTATAAAGTAAAAACATTACAGCAAGCTAAGGCTAATTTACTATTGAAGAGAGAAAAAAACATTTAATAAATTTAGTGTAGCCTAAGTGTACAGTGTTTATAATAAAGTCTACAATAGTGTACAGTAATGTCCTGCATCTTCACATTCACTGACCAACTAACTGGGAAAGAAACTTCCAGTCCGGCAAGCTCCAATCATGTGGTAAGGGCTCTATACAGGTATACTTTTTTACATTTTATACCATATTTTTATTGTACCTTTTCTTTTTTTTTTTTTTTTTTTCTGAGAGGGAGTCTCCCTCTGTCACCCAGGCTGGTATGCAGTGGCATGATCTCGGCTCACTGAAACCTCTGCCTCCCGGGTTCAAGCGATTCTCCCACCTCAGCCTCCTGAGTAGCTGGGACTACAGGCGCATGCCACTACACCTGGCTAATTTTGGTATTTTTAGTAGAGACAGGGTTTCACCATATTGGCCAGGCTGGTCTCGAACTCCTGACCTTGTGATCCACGTGTCTTGGCCTCCCAAAGTGCTGGGATTACAAGTGTGAGCCACCCACCCAGTCCCTTTTCTATGTTTAGATGCACAAATATTTACCATTGTGCTACAACTGCCTGAAGTATTCAGTACAGTAACATGCGGTACGGGTCTGTAGCCTAGCAGCAAGAGGCTATCCCTATACCATCTTGGTTTGTGTAAGTACATTCTATGATGTTTGCACAGTGATGAAATTGTCTAACAATGCATTTTACAGAGCAAATTCTGTCATTAAGGGACACATGACTGTATGTTAAATTAAACTAAATTTTGCCTGCAAGTGCCTCTGTACTTTAAGTCTCTATATAATGAACTGCAACATAACTTAAAAGGTAAACTAACTGAAAGCCATACTTAGGAGTATGTTTTTGTAACAAATAGCTGACTCTCAGTTAATCACAGCAGCTGAGCTTCAGTCAATCACAGGCAGTCAAGTGACTGTACCATGTTCAAATAAGGTAAACACAGAGCTGTAACCAATCAAGCTGTTTCTGTACCTCACTTCCCTTTTCTATCCATAAATGCTGCCTGCCTACATTGCAGAACAGACCTCTCTGAATTTCTTCTGGTTCTGAGGGCTGCCCAATTTGTGAACTATTCTTTGTTCAATTAAACTGTTAAATTTAATTTGTTGATAATTTCTCTTTTAACCTGTATATTTGATGCTCCTCCTGTTTCCTATCACATAGCTCTTAAAACCTTTGGGATCTCCACAATGATAAGAGTGTCTTTCGTATACTGATAAGATGACTGGTGACACCCGGATAGCTTTGGGATGGGGGCCAGTCACCAGAAAGACTAAGGCATGTTTAGAAGGTTGGGACTTTGAGCCCAACCCCACAGTCTTTAAGGAGGGGAGAGCAGCTAAAATTTGAAAGCCAGTAGCCAATGATATGAGCAATCATGCCTACATAAGTAAGCCTCCATAAAACCCCAAAAGGACAGGGTCCAGAGAACTTCCAGATAGCTGAACATGTGGAGGTGTCTGGAGGAAGGCATGCTGGCAAAAGCATGAAACTTCATACCCCTTTCCACATACCTTGCCCTATGTAACTCTTTCTCTGGCTGTTTGTATATTTTGTAATATCCTTTATAATAAATGGAAAAATGTAAGTTCTGTGAGCCACTCGAGCAAATTAATTGAACCCAAGGAGGGGGCAGTGGGAGTCCCAATTTATAGCTCAGTAGTCAGAAGTATAGGTGGCAATCTACTACTTGTAATGGGCATCTGAAGTTAGTGGCACTCTTGTGGGACTGAGTCCTTAACCTGTGGGATCTGATGCTATCTCCAGGCAAACAGTGTCAGAATTGAACTGAGTAAGAGGACACTCAGCTGGTGTCCACTGAAGAAGTTCTGATGTATGGGGCAACAACCCTTACACGCCTGGTGTCAGAAGTATTGTACTGTGTGGTATGGCAGTAGGAAAAACATTCTGAGTTTTTCATATCTCTATTAAAAGATAATATACCTTCACAAGCATATGGGTATACATAAGCTGTGATTATACAGAAACTTCCCGCAAACTCCCAGCTTTCTGTGTAACAGCTGGCCATAAAGAAATTAAGACCCTCATTCCACAGGGGTCCTACCCAATACCCAGGAGGAAGGAATGCTGCACAGAGAGGTCAAGAGAAATCTGGAGAGGCAGGCCTTGCTGAATTTCCTCACTCAGTCTATTAGCGTTAGATCATACTCATTTTGTCCAATCCTATTTCTATGCAGCTGTCCATACCTCATTGATCCTAAGCATAAAAATGGATAATTTTTTCTGCATTTTTGGGTCTTCATTCTGAAGGTTCCCATGACACATAAAGCTTTGATCGAATAAATTTGCTATGCTTTTCTCTTGTTAACCTGTCTTTGTTACTGGAGTGTTGGCCATGACCTTTATGATGGGACAGAAAGGTATCACTCCCTTTCCTCCCCTACAGAACTTATATACAGTATATAAAGGAGAGATTACACTAATATAATCTATTAATATATTCAATTTTTGGAATTCCTCTTTGGATTCTGCTTTCAAATTAATTTGTAAGTCTCACAAGAAAATCGGGCCCATCACTTCAGGTACATTTTGTTTTTATTTTCCCAGTTTGATCGCTAACCTTACTCAGTAAACTCGACTCCATTTAAAGTTTGTCTACTTCCAAAAATTTAATGAAAAGATGATGATTGAAGTTAATTCTAAAGAATATCATACTAGTGGCTAACATTTACTGAGGGCTTACCATGTACCAAATATTGTGATATTTCGTCAGGCACAGTGTGTATACTTGCAGTCCCAGTTGCTCCAGAGGATGAGGCAGGAGGATTGCTTGATCCCAGGAGCTCCAGGCTACAATGTGCTATGATCAACCTTGTGACTGGCCACTGCACCCCAGCCTGGGCAGCATAGGGAGTCTCTGTCTCTAAAAAACAAACAGACAAACATATGTTGTGATAAGCTCTTTATGTGTATCATCACATTGAAAGAATTGAATATAACAACTCTATAAGTGTTATTTCCCATTTTACAGATGAAGATCTTAAATAATTTGTCCAAAGTTCCTTAACTAATTGGTTTGGCTAAAACTTGAAACCTGATCTAATTCAAAACCCATGTTTTTAACGACCATATCATATAGCTATCTGAGTTTCCTGGAGTCTAGATTATGTTTGCTTTGTTCTCTATGGCCTAGCATGATGCCATAGGCGGCAGGTGCCTGTAATCCCAGCTACTTGGGAGGCTGAGGCACAAAAATCACTTGAACTGGGGAGGTGGAGGTTGCAGTGAGCCAAGATCGTGTCACTGCACTCCAGCCTGGGCCACAGAGTGAGACTCCATCTCAAAAAAACAAAACAAAAAAAATCCTGAAGGTAACCCAGAAAATTTTATACAAAGAAAGGATCTCTGATACCATGATCTGGTCTCTCAAGGTGAATAGTCTGAAGGGAATAAAAACCTGTCACACTTTTTGCTTTTAAAAAGTTAATTATTATTTCACATACATTACAATATAGCCAAATGTCCCATGCCAATAGCCTCATTCACTACAGGTTAAGCACTCCAAATCTGAAAATCTGAAATATTTAAATATAAATATAAAAAATATAAGTATAATGCAAATATTCCAAAATCTGAAAAAATCCAAAATCCAAGACACTTTTGGTAGCAAGCATTTTGGATAAAAGATAATCAATCTGTACTTTATTTTAATTTTTTTGGAGACAGGGTTTCACTATGTTGTCCAGGCTGATCTCGAACTCCTGATCTCAAGCAATCCTCCCACCTCTGCCTCCCAAAGTGTTAGGATTACAGACGTGAGCTACCACACCTGGCCTTCAACCTGTTCTTTAAACTGTGAACTTAAATGTATCTGTACTTTTTGCTTCATTTTCTCGTATTAAACTATATATATGGATCAGAAAAACTCTCCCAAGTCACATTAACTGCTATTTATGTCATTTCCACAAGGCTTTTGGTCCAAATTTCAAGCGTGGTAAACAATTTCTGTGCCTTATAACACAATTTTGCCATGGAAAAAAGTCTTTTAGTAATTTTAATATTACGAAATACATACTTAGTCTTAAGTCTCTTTTGCTGTCATAAGTGTCTTTTTGTATGCTAATGAGTTGACCGATGGCTAGCCACCTCTAGGCAGCTTCAGGATCATGGCTGGTCACTAGAAAGAGGGAGGGGAGAGGGGCTAAAGGTTGAGTTGATCACCAATGGCCAGTGATGTAATCAATCAGGCCTACATAATGAAGCCTCCGTAAAAATTTAAAAGACTGGGTTTGGGGAGCATCCAGATAGCTAGACACGGAGGGGGTCCTGGAGGGGAATCCACCCAGAGAGGGCGTGGAAGCTCTACGCCCCTTTCCACCTGCCTTACACTATGCATCTTTTCATCTATATCCTTTGTAATACCTTTTATAACAAACCAGTATATGTAAGTAAGTGCTTCCTGAGTTCTGTGAACTGCTCTAGCAAATTAATCAAACCCAAGGAAGGAGTTGTGGGAACTCTCATTTATAGCTGGTCAGTCAGAAGCACAGGTAAAACTGAGGCCTACCGTTGGCATCAAAACTTGGGGGCAGTCTTGTGAGCCAGCCTTCAACCTGAGGGATGTGACACTGTCTCCAGGTAGACAGTGTCAGAATTGAACTGAACTAGAGGACAGCCCTGTGGTGCCCACCACTGCAGAACTGACTGCTTGCTTAATGTGTGGGGGAAAATCCTACAGGATCGTGTTGTGAGCGTATAATGGGAGAAATTGAGTTTGTTTAATCTGTAGTCTCAGTAATACTATTTTTTTCTTTTTTTGAGACAGAGTCTCACTCGGTTGCCCAGGCTGGAGTGCAGTGGTGTGATCTCGGATCACTGTAACCTCTGCCTCCCAGGTTCAAGTGATTCTCCCACCTCAACCTACCGAGTAACTGGGATTACAGGTGTATGGCACCATGCCTGGCTAATGTTTTTATTTTTAGTAGAGATGAGATTTCGCCATGTTGGCCAGGCTGGTCTCAAACTCCCGACCTCAGATGATCCACCCACCTCGGCCTCCAAAAGTGCTGGGATTACAGCCACCACACCCAGTCCTCAGTAATACTATTGATGTTGCTAAACTGCACTGGCATTCTCCTTCTAAATAAGAATACTCTAAAATTTGAGAAAAGCTAAGAGGCATGTGCTTAGGTAAAATCTTATTCCTAATTAAATGGATTAATAGACGACATTTATTATAGTATATATAGTATGTAGTTGGGGGTTTTTTTCCCCCTTAGGCAAGGTCTTTCTCTGTCGCCCGGGCTGGAGTATAGGGGCATGCTCACGGCTCACAGCAACCTTGCCCTCCTGGGCTCAAGTGATCCTCCTACCTCAGCCTCCTGAGTAGCTGGGACTATAGCAGCATACGACCATGTTCAGCTAATTTCTTATTTTTTGTAGAGATAGGGTCTCACTATAGTTCCCAGGTTGGTCTTGAACTCCTGGGCTCAAGTGATCTTCCCGCCTCAGCCTCTCAAAGTGCTGGGATTACAGGTGTGAGCCACTGTGCCCAGCCTGTAGTTTTTACATCCTAATGACCAAGACCCCTTAGGTCTCACCAGACTATCATGAGGTCTCTTATTACCTCTCCTGATTAGTAAAAGTCAGGCTTACTCATTCATAGACTTAAACCCTTGCTTGCCACAACTTCTGTAAAGCTTTAACATTGAAACAAGATATATGTAATCGGTCTCAGAGAATAGCTAACTCAGTGAAGTGGGCTTATGGGTTTACAGTGTTTGAGAATGGCTGGCATTATTTCATAGGCTACTGCCTGGAGGTTGAAATGCTGAATTATAATTTTAAGGGAGAGATGAGGATGTAGTTTGATCCTAGGATGTTGTCTGCAATCACATGAACAAAGACCAAGCAAGCAATGGAAAAAATGAAGACAGCTGAGAGGTAGGCTAGGGCGAGTGAAGGAGCAGGATAAAGAGAAAAAAAAAAAGCAAATAAAGTTCAGAGCTACAGTTGTATTTTAAAGGTTGTCTGCAGAGCAGGAGAAAGCCATTGGAATGACATGATAATCAGAATCTATGTCCAGGCAACAAAACATTACCCGTCCTGCCACCTATAAACCCAGATACTTGCTCTGATCTAACAAGTCAGTCCATCACAGTTTAGTAGAGACTGCAAACTCCACCTCCATCCAGCCTTTCCTAACTTTCCTAACTTCCCATCTTCTCTGATCTCCAAATAAGGCAGACTTCCTTCTCTCTACAGACTCCCTAATATGCAAATACCCATCCCCATTTCTTAACCCCCATATCCTTCTCCTTAGCCCTTTAATTGGATTTCAGTACTTTCCCTCCAAGTCTACTTCATCCCATACCCTCTGACCTACTGAAATACTTTCCTTCCTTAACCTTCTCCTCCTTTCAAATATCCTGATTCCTATTCCTCTGCAAAGTCTCCAATCATTTTTCTTTCCAAAGCCAATTCCCCCATTCTGTGCTGTCCACCTCTGCCTCCCACTCTTCTTTATCCCATTCTGACTGCCAATTTGCCCACAAATTCTATCCCAGTTCCCCAACACAGTAATAGTCTCCCCCACTTCTCTATGGTTCTTTCCTGTGCCCAGACTCAGCCTTTCTCTATCCATCCAGACTTCCCAAGCTGCTCATCTCTCTTCATCCCAGAAAATACCCTGACATCCTAATGCGTTCCAATATGCTGACCTCCAATTACTCCCCTCCCTAAACAAAATACTCAAACCTCCACCCATTCCTCTTTATCGCAACCCAACTGCCTGCCTATTTGCCCTTCCGTCCTAATACTCTGGCCCCCGTGTCCTTTTCCACCTATTAAAAGCCTGAATCCCCCTCTCCCATCTCTCTTCTGCTCAGATAAAAAGCCTGAATCCCCTTCTCCCATCTCTCTTCTGCTCAGATACCCTAAAACTCAAGCTTCCCATCTCTTTCCATTAATTATTCAATTTTATTGAGCAACTTTTATGTAGGAAGAACCATGCTAGGATCTAAGCTCAAGATGTATAAGATTTTGTCTCCCAATTACCCATGATCTCTGCACCAAGCAGTCTCCTTCATAGCATTTTAAAACAGTTATTTGTGAAACTACTTGATTGTTGCCTGTTTCTCCTTCTACACTATAAGCTACAAGAGAGCAGAGGTCTCGTCTGTTGTTCTATAGACAATAAATATTTGTTGACTGAAGGACTGTACTAAACACTCTAGACAATACCAAATTTAAATCCTCAAAGATTTAGCTGTATAGGATCAGAATTACTAACCTCATTTACAAGTGGCAATGTATCTGAACAATTAAAAGCCTGGATTCTGGAACGAAACAGCCTGAGTTCACATTCTGACTTTCCACTTACTGTGTGACTTTAGGCAAATTACTTAACCTCTCTGGTCCTCAGTGCTATCACTTTTTAAGTGGGAATGATAACCTCATACAAGTTATTTTAAATTCTAAATGAGGTTAATACGTGCAAAGTGCTTAAAACTGGATCTGACAAATAGTGAACACCCAAACGTGATTCGCAATTATTTGGACAATGAGGAAACATGATCAGGAAGGCTCAGACACATGCCAAGGATCACAGACGCGGTTAAGTTACACAAGGTGGCAGAATTGAGGTTTGAGCCCAAGTTTGCCTGGCTTCAAAATTCACTAGTCCCTTAACGAATATAACGGAAGTGTTTGCTCTTCCCCTCCTTTTAGCATTTCGTCCCCACATCCTGTCATCTTTCTCCACCCACTGTAGTCCGTCCGATACCGTGACAACCCGTCAGGACGCCCAAACTGTCCTTTCTCCCGCTCACTCCCCACAGACAGCTGGCACATCCCAGCTCTCCCCTCAGCTCAGGTAGCGGGACGCACAACCTTCTGGGCGCCGCACCCTAACTTCCACACCTCCCCACGCTCTGGTTCTTCATCCCCAATCGCCCCCGCCGTCCTCACCTCTTCCCATCCAAACCTCCCTCCTTCATCCACTGCCCCACGCCCGTTCCGGGCCCTCCCCTCTTTCCCGTCCAATCCCAATTCCCAGACATGCGCCCCCGCCCCGAATCCATCCCAAGCCGGCCCACCCCACGCCCGGTTCCGGCCTTCCCGCCTTTGCCTCCGGCTCCCACCGCTCGGGTTGGACGCCGGAGAACGGGCTCGACCAGGTCTGACGCTCACTGCCTAGGAGCCGAGCCGAGCAGTCCCGCAGGCTGAGGCGGAGCGGAAGACGTTGGGGCTCTTTCCTCAGGCGCGCAGCGGCGCGACGGCCATTTTGTTGTGTTGTGCCGGTTGCCGAGGGGCCCCGCGCGCGTGGGCGGGGCCTGTCTCAGCCACTCCCTCTCCCTCTCCGGGGCTTTTGGGAGGGACGCGGAGGCGTTTCCCGCCGCTTTCGCTGCCAGCGCGCTAGGGTGCTGGGGAGTCTTGGGCGCTGGGGAGTCTTGGGCGCTGGGGAGTCTTGGGCGCGAGGCTTCCGGCCGCGCGGGGCCGGCGGGATTTGCTGCCTTCGCCTTCGGATTGCGTTGCAGGTGAAGTTACGGGTGCAGAGTCAGGGAAAGCCGAGGTTTCTTGCGGCAGTCGGCCGCAGTGCAGTGGCCTTCGCTGAGGCAAAGCTGCAGCCGCCACCCTCTGAAACACGGACACGATTCTCTGGGCCTGGGTCCGAGGACGGCCTGAACGCCGACCGGCGCAGCGCATCTCCGGCCTCCCCCACTTCTGACGCCTTTTTCTTACCATTTTCTCGCAATCATTCCTTCCTGTCTTCATTTCTTTACTACACAGTTTATAGTCCACCTGTATAACACTATTTTAGAAACTCCCTCTCTCTCTGTGCCTCAGTTTCCTTACCTATGAAACGGGGTCCTTTTACCTATTAACACTTCCTACAGTTTTCCTGATAACTATGAAAGTGAATCCAGGCCGGGCGCGGTGGCTCATACCTGTAATCCCAGCACTTTGGGAGACCAAGGTGGGAGGATCACTTGGGGTCAGGAATTCAAGACCAGCCTGGCTAACAAGATGAAACTCCGTCTCTACTAAAAATACAAAAATTACCCGGGCGTGGTGGCGCACGCTTGTCATCCCAGCTACTTGAGAGGCTGAGGCAGGAGGATCGCTTGAACCTGGGAGGCGGAGGTTGCAGTGATCCAAGATCGCACCACTGCACTCCAGCATGGGCGACAGAGCTAGACTCCATCTCAAAAATAAAAAAATAAAAATAAAAAAGAAGCCCAGTTTTCCTGATAATTATAAAAGTGAATCTCTGTGGAAGAACTTAGAACAGTGAGGGACCCATAGTACGTTCTCAATGTGTCTTAGGTATTTCATTATTAGACAAAGGTTACCCAGAAGCGATATTTCTTTCTATGCCCGAAAGAAGAGTTTAGGCAAGGGGTAGGGAGGTGGGGAAGAATTTGCTTGGCAAAGGAAACAACTTGTGCAAACCTCAGAAGCGGGAGAAAAGAGCTTGGCAGTGTGCTGGATGTTAAGTAATTCAGTGTAGCTGAAACAAAACATGAGTATGGAAACATGAAGTACTTCAGTATGGCTCGTGCAAAAATCGGGTGGAGAAGCTAAATCTGGAAAAGCAACCTTATTATAAGCAGTATTAGGCACTTCATTTTTCCTTAAGGCAGAGATAGCTTCACCTCTATAGGAAATTCAGGAGACGTCCAAGAAGGAATAAACTGCAATAAACATGGGGATGCAGACGTGTCTTTGATATACTGATTTCCTTTTCCTTTTACTTAAATGTGATTCCCACTGACGTTTAAGTGAATGGTGCTGTCCTCTCCCCAACTAGTTATACAACACAGAAGGAAGCCCTTGGAGTTAAAACCCAGAATTTTTGAAAAGCTCCATTTAAAATTAAAAGGAGATTACATTCATTTTTTTCTTTCTTTCTTTTTTTTCTTTTTTGAGACAGAGTCTGGCTCAGTCACCCAGACTGCAGTGGCAGAATCTCGGCTCAATGCGACCTCCACCTCCCGGGTTCAAGCGATTCTCCTGCCTCAGCCTCCCGAGTAGTTGGGATTACAGGCACACACCACCACGGCCAGCTAATTTTTGTATTTTATTACAGACGGGGTTTCACCATGTTGGTCAGGCTGGTCTCGATCTCCTGACCTCACGTGATCCGCCCGCCTCGGCCTCCCAAAGTGCTGGGATTACAGGGGTGAGCCACCGCGCCCTGCTGAGATGACATTCATTTTTAATCGAAGTTCACGGGATATTTATTAGGTCGGAATGTGTACATTGCCGAGTTTCAGTTCTATTTGGCATATGTTTTGACACCCATCGTTTCTATTTCTTGTATCCAAGACTTAGATTTATTGCGTAACCTCATTGCTGTGTCCCTCAAAGTGTGTAATGGTATTCACGTGGGATCCATTATCAAGCCGTGGTGTGCTGGTGTAGTTCATTATCAATCATATTAGTATCAATTAGTAGCCATCAGATATACACAAAAAGTCCAGAGGGTGGCGCAAAACACTTTTCTCTTGGGTAATCTCCCAATTAGCCGCGGATGGGCACTCTTCGGTCCCATGTTGTCGGGTTTTCCTCCTCATACAGACCTCTGCTGGTGTCTAGCATCGTCTCTAAAGAAGCTAGAGACTTCAAAGGAGAGACCTTTCTCCGATTAATTTGAATATTAACTGTCTCTCTTAGCATGCTAAAAGAACTTCCTTCTCTAAAGCAGAAGTGAGAATACAAAAGTAGTGCAGACAACTCTTGCATTCCACACTATTTTTTCTTTATCTGATAATAGGAAGAATGTACTCTGAATTGCATTTACAATACAAATATTAGCCACGTCAGGGTGACCTAACTTTTACTCAGTTCTT